TCAGATTATAGAAGAAAAATTCTTTAGATATAGAATAGATTCAACTCAAGTATGAATCGCAAACTTATACGATTTTTACATATTTATATTTCGACCTTTACCAATCGTAGTGAAATTAGTATTAGATTCCCTAATTTCTTTATCAATATTGCGATCAATAATTATCTAAATTATAAATAATTATCATCCATCGATTAAATATATTGAAAATTAAGTCATCATTAATTATATTTTCTTATGATTAATCTTTCGTAGATATATTTTTTAATTAATCTGCAAATAAGGATTCATAAATATTGTATCATGAATGTCATTGTTCCCTCTCTATCTCTCTCTCCCTTTGTTATCTCAGTACCTGTTGTATCACATGCACAATCTTTGACGAAGTGCAAAAGCTGAAGCTATGGGAAGCTTAAATTGCCGCATCGTGCTTCCTCAGCTCTGGTCATAGATGCCGTAATCATCTTTGAAATAGTCATACGCAACCTTGCTGTTGCTGGACCATGTGACTTGACTGCGCTTGCTCACAATCACGAGGTCACCATTCGCCAACAGCTGCAGAACGTTTTGCCCCTCCTCTGCTTCAAGGGAAGTGTCCGCTGTGCCAGAGTCCCATTTTGCAACTCCTGAGCAGTAAAGGACAAGGTTTCCGTCGTCCTGTAACTTGAATTCGGGGTCTTCCGAGGCTGCGCAAGCTCCCGCGGACCAAAGTTGCCGCCCATGGCTCCAGTCCTTCAACCTGACAGCTCCGCCTGCAGTCCCGTTTGAGAAAGCCAGGTCGAACTGGTAGAGAGAGCTCGCAACTAGCCGCTGGCCCGGTTGAAGACTCTGCGGGCTTGCAAGGCTGCTGTTCCCGAACCCTACAGGGACCTGACTTTTGCTCGTCCAAATTCCCTTGAGGTCGGGAAGGGTGTAGATGGTTAAAGCACCTGTGTTCTCGATGGCGGCCACCCGGCACAGCATCTGACCATGATCGGTGTTGGCGGCCAATATAGGGTTGTTTTCCCCACAATAAAGAACCAGGTTCCCGTCTGGCTGCATTTCAAGGTACGCCTTGTTCTCTGTGCAGGCAGTGTTTGTCTGCCACGAAACGCTATCATACATGTTGTAGATGGCCAAATTACCACTACTTGAAAGCATGAGCTTGTACAAGCTGTTGTAACTCCAGAGGCTCTGACCAGCTTGCAACCGCTGCCCAGTCGTTAGATTGTTGCTCGAGTTAACTTTGCTGACATTCGACCACGACATTGACTGCACCCATTGGAAAGTCGCGTTGATATACCCGAAGCCTTTACTGGGTATCTCACCCAACGTGGCGCCGACGAGCTTGTAAGTGGAGTCCCCTGTAACCGTCACCTGAGAATCTCAGACACCAAAGGCTCTATGTAGAATCCAAAATGGTAAGATTCTTATTCTAAGGATCCCGAAAATTTGGTCTCCTTAATTTTGAGAACCCCTTGCCTTTTGAGTGTATTCACTAGGAGAACCGGCCATGCACTGTCCGTAGGGGTTGTCACCCACTGTAAAGCATCCATAATAGTTGCCGGTATTATAGCCGTCGGAGAAGAACAACTTCATGTTTACCACCTGCGAATCAGCCTTATACGGATCGGTCTGCTCGATGAAGTGAAGTTCAATGGTATGGATGTACCTGTCCGGGTAAGCCCAGTCTCCACAATTGCTGCCTTTGGTAATGGATGTCTTGCCCGACGTTTCCTCCCTCCCATCGTCATAGGTCCTCGGTCCCACAGAAGATGAAGTGATGTCGATTCCTACGCTCGTTTTTCGTCTTGCCAGACGGCATCCCCCGTAGGGAAGTCCAGGCACCCAAAACCCTGAGCATCCTATCATAAGCCCCAAAACTCCGAACATCTTAACATCTTCGTTGAGGGTTTAGGGCAAGTCGACCATGCGCTGTAGAGCGACAGGCGTGGGCAAACCCTTCACGGTCCAAAGTTTTGCTCCAAGGCTTTCATCAGCTCTCACTCTTCACATCATCACAGGCACAGCTTGAAGTAGTCCACAAAGTTGCAACCATTGGCCCATGCGATTGCTTCTCTGATGTTGCCAGGGCCCAAGAAGCCGGTCTCGTTGATGGTCCACCTGCGGCGAGAGGCAGAGGAAGTAGAACGGACAGCAACGAAGCCCCGGAAACATCTAGTACCATACTATACCGCACTATACTATAGCAAACTGTACTATATTATCCTAGCATGCCGAAGCGGGTTGCGGACGACTAAGACAGCTAAGAAGACACCCCCCCCACCCAAGACACGGAGAGGAGTGCTGAGGTGACCCTTCAAACAGCATTGGCATTGGCATAGCATATGCAATAGTATCGTACAGCATGGTGAGAGTCAAAGCTATAGTGATTAGTCTAGCCTAGTCTAGTCTAGTATAATGTAGACAGTATGGTCTCGTCTAGTCGAGTCTAGTTATGCGGCAAGAAGTGGAGTCGACGATCTCGGTTGCATCTCGGCAGACGCGTCCATCCTGTACCGAGTGCCCTGCCGATTTTGACCGTCCGACTACAGGAACAATGATTTTACGACTCCTGTCAAAGCTGCTTGGAGGAGACCACAGGGGGCAAAAAAATCAAAGCATGGGAGAGATAGGTCCATGATGAAGTACGAGGCATCGAAGACAGTATGCGGCTAAGAGCGAAGACGGGAGACGGGGAACTACGACCAGACAACAACAGGAGGCAGGGTAAACGAGAGGGGAGGCAAGAACGAAAATCGGAGGAGAGTGGAGCCTTCCAGACGGAAGGCTGGAAACGGGGATCTCCTTCCCAACTTCGTAAAGCAGATGTGAAGGAAGGATCGAACTCCAACAAGTTGACAAGGAATTCGGTTCGAGGTTCCCCAGAGCCAAAGAACTGCTGATTTCGCTGTAGCCTCCCTGTTCCCCCTAAACCCTAAACCCTAAACCTTGTTCCTGAGGTCATCACCAGTTGTTGCTGGATACCTGTCTGCTGCCGTCCTGGAGGTCTTGCGTGACAGCAGCATAGGGGCCCACGGTTATGAACTCCAGAGCAGGCAGCATTGTGGGCGCCACCGCCTCCATTCCTCAAGGAAGATCTATGGGTGGTTGTCAAAATTAGGGCCTTTTTTTGGGTACCGGTACTCTAAATAATAGGTGCCGTATTATATTAGGGACCCGAATAGGGACCATAATTTTGACAACCATCCATTTAGAGCTTGGCGTATAGGGTGTTTAGGGTTTAGGGTTTAGATTTGGTGGGCTTCGTACTGGGGCTTGGGTGGCTCTGTTGGTGTTGCTGGGCTTGCGTTTCGGGATTGGGGGCTTTCAACGGCGTCTTCCTGGCACGTAGCGCTGCAAGTAGGTGATCGGCTGCATCGCCTTGGCCATAGCTGCAGAGACCTGGGAGTTTTCCGAAAAGAGGGGACCCTAATAGAGTACCATTAAATAGAAGGATCTTTACTATAAGGATCCAAAAATAAGAAACCCCCACCTGGTTCAAGATACGCTGGGCAGTCATGTTAGCAATCTCGGCACAACGGTTGTTAGACCCCTGCATCCCGTCGAAGACGTGGACGTCGTTGCCGATTTTGACCAGCTTGTCTGTTACCACAGAGGAGCAGTCCGAGTTCTGCCGTCGACGGCGGCGGCCCTCGTCGACTGTCTGGTCGATCTTTGTAGACCTCCAGCTTCTCCAAAGAGAGTAGGTGTAGTTGAAGAAAGTCTGGTAGTATGCCACTTTCATCTGCAATTCGTAGAGCCATGCCGGATCTGCTGAGCCATAGACTCGAACTCCATGAGATAGCCGCTCTCGCAGAATGACGCAGTGCAGCGTCGCCCCCACAATCGTGATCGGAAGCAACTCGTACTTGTTCGTGGAGAGAGTAAGGTGATTCATGATGTCTTGTGCCTTTGCGAGCGCAATGGACAAATCATTGCCCTTTTCCGTTATGGTGCTCTCCCGGCTATATCGGGCAAGGTAGCTTCGCACGGAGAGGAAATCGGCCTCCCTTTCATGCAACTCGAAGTTGAGGATGGACACATTCACGATTTCCTCAACATCGCTGAGAACCAACGACCAAATGTCCGCTTCTCCACTGGAATCGTCTGGCCAGAGAAACCCAAGAACCGTGGCAATGATGCCCCCGGAGCGTTCGTTCCTCTCCCTATGCTTCTCAGCTAGAAGCATAGGCATGAATTCGCTCACGGTGATCTCTGTGACACACTCCCCCACCTTTGCCAATCGGCGTATCCACTTCCCCTTCGTGCTGTCATCATCCAAGTCATCACCTGACAAGTCCTTAGTGTCTTCTTCGACCTTCTCGTACTCACGCTTTACTTCGCCCGTCGTGTACGAGAAAGCCTCCTCCAGATCGGACTGGATATTGTATTCAGCTTGCTGTTGACGCAAAGCCTCTTCCAGCAGCTCTTCTGCAGCCATGTCTTCTGAAGAACAGGCGCCTTGTGCTTCAGCTTGGGCGTTGCGGCCCGCAGCACTGCTTACCTGCAAGAGGGGCAGCTCTTCCCGGTCCCCAACAGGACCAGTAACAGGACCACGGGACGCCTCGCATGCCTCCCCGTCCGCACGTGCATGCAGGAGGAGGGCTGGAAGAAGCAACAGGAAGAAGACCATCCCTGACAGGGAGGCGGGAAGGCTGTGAGGCTACGTGGCTTGCCGGCGGCTCCAACAGGTCGAGCACATTTTTCCAGCATGTTGTTATCAGAAAGTCTGCTGCCCTGGTAGGCTCCACTGCTGGAATGGTATCACCAAGAACGAACTCAAGCACGCTCTTTGTTTCCATGGCATCGCCAGTGCCACCTACTCCTAGACCCCAAGAAATCGCACCAAAGCCTGCGGTGCATTCTGCACCGAAGGCTTAGAGGCATCATACCTTTGGTATGTGCGGGCATAAACCAGGGACCGATGCAGGAAGTTCCTTGTCCTTTCGATCCTTCTCGACAGCCCCAACCCCCGATCCCAAACGGAGAAGCGATCCCAAAGCACTAACCCCATACGGTTTAGGGTTTAGGATTTCAAGTGTCGGATCTCCTAATCATACAGCAGCGGGACCCCAAATCCTGTCTTCCGCGAAAGAAGCAATGCAGCAGGTCCTCAAACATGACTCAAAGGGGAAAAGGAGGGACCCTTAATGGGGACCCCTACCCTATAACGGGCTATATAATGAGTATATAATAGCTATATTAAGGGTATATACCTAGGGGTCCTTATTAAGGGTCCCTCATTTTACCCTTGGAATGAAACCGTCAGCCCGTGAAAGGATTATAAAGCTCAGGGCCTCCGGAGGCTTACTCTACAAGACTGGGGTTCCTTTATATAAAGGGTTCCTGTAAAGGGTCTACATGGCTAACTATAATACAATAGAGTTCCTTTAAAGGGTTCCTATAGTCTAAAAAAGGGCGGAAACTCCTGCACGTCTGGCCTGGGCCTAGCCTTTCGGCAACGGCCTTCCCCCCGATCTTCTCAACTGAGACGACCAGAATCTTGACTCTTTCAGGGTAGAGAGGCTGTCTACATTGGGTTGAGAATTTGGGGATACAGGCTATACTGGTCTTCGGATAAAGGTTCGTTGGTGGCTTTGTCGGAATGAACAGGAATCATATGGGCCTGCTAGCCGAAAGATGACCACGGGCCGTAGAGGTTGTCGCAGTAAGCCTGGGCCGATCCCACACGAAGCTCAGGCTCACGGCTTCTGGGGTCGAGACGTTAGGGTGCGGGCTTCTAAGGCTTAGGGTTCATGGCTTGAAGACTTTAAGAGCAGGTGTCAAAGGCCAAGGGCCATAGAGTGCAAGCCTTAGAGTTCAGGGTCCCAATCACCAAGCCCAACCTTACCACAATCTTTAACCTGGGGCCTTGAACGCGGTGCCGAACACTGAAGCAGCGGACCCTATTCTGACTGTTACGGCCCCAAGCTTGAAGCCACTCACTGCAGGCCGTAGGGACTTCGCGCATCTTTGCATCGTTCCGTGGCTGCAGCGTCCAGCTGGGAGTTGTGCGGTCGTACTTCTCCGCCAAGTCCTTGGTTCTGCGGATTTCGTTCGGGCTACAGAGGTTAATATAAGTCTAAGGCTACGGGAGTTAATGACTGTAAACAGTGCTAGTCGAGTCGCGTCCTTCGGACGATCGTCCAGGCTCTTCAGCGCTCGCTTCAAGATGGCCTGATGAGGCCAGAAACGTGGCAAGCAAACTAAGCAAACCATGTCTCATGTCGGCTTAATTTTGGCTAGATGAGGCTTTACAACCTAAGTAGCATTCTGATGATGCGACTACTACGAGACCATGCATTGTGCAATTTCACCACAGCACCAGAAAAACATTGTGATACGGCACTGCGTCCTTGCTGCACTATACGGAAATGCTGCATCAGCGCCATGCTTGATAGGTTCATATTCTGATAAGCAGGTGATGTATCAGAATACCACTTCGAGACGAGACCATCTCCTATGCAGGAAGCAAAGAGTTATCCGGCAGCAATGCCAGCAATGCCACAGCAATTGAAGTGTAACTTTGCGTCGATGCGTCATGCTCCTGCAATACAGTACGTCAACGCTAGCGTCTGCTATAAAATCACTAACAATCATCATAATTATCATCATTGCGTCATCATGGTACTGTGGCACTGGCGATGTTGATGCTTTCATGCATACCCTTGGCAAGCCACTGTACGCTCTACCACCTCATATGGTCCGAACCCGGCAAGAAGCTCGCGAGAATCGTGGCGCCTCCTTTTGATTCGGATCAGAACCATACTGATTTCCTGTAGTTCATCCTAGTCTTACTGCGTAACTGCAATGGTCGCCGACATCCGCAAGCTAAAACCTAAATTCCAAGTGCCCGAGAGTGCCAACAAAAAGCGCTAACCCCGCAATCCATAATCCCTGAAGAACAAACCCTAAACCCTAAACCCTGACGCCTAAAGCATCCCGAGCCTCGCCGTCCAGACCAGCCACAGAAATGTCGAAGGGACCTAAGGGCTTGGTTGTAAGGGCTGCTTCTATGTTTTGCGGGCGACCAGTACTGGTACTACAAGTTTGCTATCAGGTGCACCCTAAACCCCAAAACCCTAAACCCTCCGTGCACCGTGCGACCCTAAACCCTAAACCCTAAACCCTAAACCGTGCTTTGTGTTTTTTGGGAGGTTTGGACTTTCGGAGATCAGGCTTCAGTCCATGCGCGCTCTCGGGTTTGATGCCTTCGACCAGCTTGGGCTTCGGATTTTTTTAGGGCTCCTTTAAGGGATCTGTAAGGGATCTATAAGGGATCTGTAGGGTTTAGGGTCTTAGGGTCTTAGGGTTTAGGGTTTAGGGTCTAGGATTTAGGGTTAAGGGTTTGGGGTTTTGGGTTTAGGGCAGGTCTCTGAGATTTGTGGCCTACAGGTAAGAGGCGTTGAGGACATGGGTAGTTCTCTAAACTAGAGTCCCTTGTAGGGTCCTAGTTTGTGGACAAAAGGGACCCTAATGTAGAGAACTACCCATATTATATAAGGGTTTCTGTAAGGGTACTATCATAGCAGTACCCTTAGATCCCTTTGAGGACCCCTCAAAAAAAAGGAACCCGGAACCCAATTTCCATGGTAGGCCTGACGAGGGGTTAGTTGTAGAAACCCCCTGTAGAAACCCTTGTAGATCCCTTGAAGGAACACTTCTCGATCCCATTTAGGAACCCTTGTAGATCCCTTTAAGGAACCCTGTTCGATCCCTTTTGGGAACCCTTCTAGATCCCTTTAAGGAACCCTCGGCCGGACTGGCGGGTTGAGGCCCAAGGGGCTCTTGCGCGGGTCCGTGCGATGCCTGGGCCCAGAGGCATGAGAGGCTTCAGCATTAAGTTTAGGGTTTAGGGTTTCGGGTCTAGGGTTTAGGGATTGAGTTTAGGGTTTAGGGTTTCGGGTCTAGGGTTTAAGGATTAAGTTTAGGGTTTAGGGTTTAGGGTTTCGGGTTTAGGGTTTAAGGTTGAGGGCTTAGGGTTTAAGGTTTAGGGTTCAGGCCTTAGGGAAGGTAGGCTTCGGGGTTTAGGTCCTTGAGATCTAGGTTCATATAGGTCAAATTTTCGGTTGGTTCTTATATTGCTAGCTACACCAAACCTAAATCTGTCGCCGCGTTCTTGCTGAGAAGACGCAACAGCTGTGACATGCTCTAGATCTGTGTGAAAGCTTGCTGTTGCCGTGTTCTCGCACAGACAGCACGAACCTGGATGATGCTAGAAGATCCGCAGCAACAACTAGGGATTTGCCTCGTAAGGCGCTGTACAAAAGCATAGATGGAGTTGCTGTAACGACAGGTTCTAAAGACAGAAACACTCAGACCCCGAAACCGCACCCCAGCCTTTCAAGCCCCTACACTGCTCACGTTGCGTTGCTGTGAATTTGTCGCCGTCGACGTTGTTACTGTTATTTTGTTGGTAATGTTAGGTGCCAATGACCCTGCTCATGTCGCTGCCATCATTGATGTTACGGCTCCAACACTAGTACTGCTGCGCTTTCTGACACCTTCACGAGTCTACAAAGACTGTACTTGAAAATTTGTTCCTGTGCTAGTAGGGTAATGTGTTGCTGTAGGCTTTGTTCTCATCATCGTTGTACTGTTAGATGTCACAAGATGCTACATTCTCTTCACAGTCTCCGTAGTCCCCTTGCATGCCAGGCTCCCTATACCCCAAATCCTAAAGCATACACCACAGATCCCCTTGAGGCTCCAAGCCGTCAATAAATTAGAAAGCACGCAGTCTGACTGTTTACTTAGAATGGGGACCATGGGGACGCTATACTAAGAAATAAACCTCAAGCCCTTCAAAGCACCATTGAAGAAGACACCCTCAAAAAGGAACCGTTGAAAGGAAACCCTAAACCCTAAACCGCTTGAACAGAAGCCTGCGAAGCCTCTCCTCCTCTTTACTTTTCGTGCGCCGAGATGCAGAGGCCTCGGATTGCCCCCTGAGTGCTTCACCAGGTCGGTCTTGGGCCGATAATCCGTCGGCGCGGGCTTCACGTCCTTCTCACAGGGGCTTGGAGGTTTTGAGTTTGGGTTTAGGGTTTAGGGTTTAGGGTTCTGGAGCTCAAGGTACGACGTTGAGGTTGTTTTTTGCTTGCCGTCAAGCTTCAAGCACCTGTTTGACTCCATTCTCCTCATTCCCAGAAAAGAAAAGCCTCAGACCTCAATCTCCCCTACTACTACTATTACTACGACGACGACTACTACTACTACTACTACTACTACTACTACTACTACTACTACTACTACTACTACTACTACTATAGGTAAAACGAGACGAAGAGAAGACGTATCTCCAGCCTGGAGTTTACCGGAGCTTTCAATAAAACGGCTCTAGGCACGAGAGCCTCAGCATCCGGCAGATGTTAACCAGCAGAAACCCGGGACTCCTAGAAACCCCAAACCCAAAGCATCAACATGGGTGGTTGACAATATTAGGGTCCCGTTTTGGGTCCTTAATAGAATACGGCACCTAATATATTTAGGGTATCCAAAAAGGGACCATAATTTTGACAACGACCCAAATCTGTATTAGGGTTTAGGGAATCTGTGCCCTGGGCCTGCTTCAGCGGCGCTATGCGCCCATGGAGTTGGATATCTTTGCCCAGCCGCTCCTTGGGAAATGGCATCTTCCTGCCCTACTCTGTGCAGTCGACATTGCAAGCACTGCGTTACTAGATATTGCTTGCCCCCCTGCCCCTAGAGCAAAACCCTTGCCAGGAGAGATGCGTGTAATGCCCAAGAGGTATTCAAACTAGGGTTTTGGGGTGCACTATTTCTTCTAGGACTACAAAGGTATACTAGTACTGAGTATTCAATCTCTTACACTGAAGCTGGCAGAGGTTTAGGATTGAGCGGTTAGGCGCGGCCCTCTTCAACAAAGAGGCCGACGGCACCCGGTACTCGTTCGGCGCTGGCACATAGTCCTCACACACTTTCACAAAGTGCCGGTTAAGCCTAGGATGTGAAGTGTGGGCACGTCGGCTCCAGGCCACCACCAGCACGCCGCAAACTAGACTGCGAAGATCTACTGATCCTTCAGGCCACTAAACTAGACTTCGCGGTTCAAGGTCCGCCACTTTCGAGGTAGCAGCTCAACCCGGAACTCTAGACTCTCGAGTGCCAGGGCCTCAGGTCCCAATCCAGGCCTCAAGCAATATAGTGGCCTTAATAGTTAGAATAGGGTTTTGGGTATACCATAATTATGATAAGGAACCCCGAAAATTAGTATTGATCACTATTAAGGCTCCTACAGTAACCCACTCCTTCAGAACTCACATCCGGGCACGCAGTAAACCTCATCCTAATGAATGCCAACACCAAGTGCTAGTAGTTCAACCCCAGTAGATTCCTCAAGCTTGGGGAGCCCCATACCGGAGCCCTCATCCAGATACATGCTTACACTCCGCACCCTCAAAGCTCAGGTAATTTCTGCGGGGCTTCCGTCATTCCAGTATGTAAGGATGCACATTATGACCCTGTAACCGGGTCTCTGGTATCAGGCAAACCCCCTCTGTCCGGGAGCATGCCAGCAAGCTTGCGGCCCTCTTCCTTTGGCCAGCCTGAAGCAGGCTCGCGCTTCAGAGGCTTTGCGGCTTTTAATTCCCGTTTGGGTTCAGGGCTTTTGGTGTCTAGGATATGAGGTTCAGGGCTCAGGGTTATGGCTATGGGTCTAGGATTCATGGTTTAAGACCTAGCCTTTGAACGGCTTAGGATTGAGGCTAGGGTCGAAACCGTGAGATTCAGTGTCAAGTGTAGGGCTTCCAGGCTTAAGGTGGTTTCGTGTTTTTTTCATTTTTTGGTGGCGTTTTCTTAGAGCTTCGGGCGCCTCGGAAGTTTACGGCGGACTTTCCTCGGACCCATGGCCGGGGTTCAGGGTTTAAAGTAAAAGCCAGAAAGTTGGAATATGATTATCCTAACCCTTCTATGGTAAATTATAGGGTATCCTACCATGAAGCCATATTCCAACTTTCTGGAGTTCCCGTTAGGGTTTCCCTGGAGCACTCGAGTGGGCTCCCTGGCAGGACTCAGCAAGCCCCACACTATGGTCGCCGTCGTGGTGGAAGTCGAAGCAGTAGGAGGAAGGAGCAGAGTAATAGTCGTAGTAGTAGTAGTAGTAGTAGTAGTAGTAGCAGTAGCAGTAGCAGTAGCAGGAGCAGCAGCAGCAGCAGCAGGTATGACAGCAGTGGTATGAAACTGAAATAGAAGTGACGAAAACATGTTCCTGAAAGTCTTGCCCTAACCCACTAAGATTCAGTGCAGGAGGTGTGAGTTGCAGGGACTAGAGTCAAGTCTTGAGTCCTAACACCCATAAGCCCAAGACTTTCACCCATGGTACCCTGCCACCCTCGCCTGTGCTCGGCGTGTCTTCGGGATGATACTCCCTTCGCAAGTTGTATGCACCTCGCTTTCCGCAAGGTCATAAGCTTGTCTGCAAGCCGAACTATGGCGTCTCAGTCTGTGAGGAAGTTTGGACGGAAGTCCTGAAGAGGAGCTTGGTGCATGTCAAGAACAGGCTAAGATGCAATGCTCATGATCGGGTGCATCTACATGTTTGAGCACCTGTGGTTGCTCACGACTTCCGGTCATTCCCAGGGCCAACAACGGCATTGCTCTCTCATTTCCACGATTAGACTTGTCATCGCCACTACTGCAACAGCCTGAACCCTGGTTGTAATATAGGGGCCTAAATAAAAACTAATACTATTTTTGGGGGGGCGGGGTTCAGATTGTAGCTGTAGTACAATGGGCCCCAAAACCCTATTCTAATTGTTCAGGCCCCTATAATTCTCCCCTTGTCTGCTTGCTCTTCCACGCCTGGCCCTGGCGGATCGTCCGGGTCGACGTTGCCGAACATGCTCCTTTCATCTAGTCACGTAGTCCGTGGATTTTGGGTTTGGAGCTCGGGCGTGGGAGTATTGAGCAATAATGCTAATAAGAACCACAATAATTGAGCAGTAATGCTAATAAGAACAACTATAATACGAGAAAAACTTAAAACAAACAATAATAATGAGGAGAAGATATACCAATAATCATAACAACAATAGCAAAAATGACCATCAAATGATAACAATAAGACACATAACAAAAATAACAGTAACAATACTTGTATCTTTATGTCAGAAGAATGCTTAACAATACTAAAGAAGATAATTACAAAAAATAAGAAAAGTAACAATCAATAATGACAAGTAAACAAGACTAAGAATAAGAATAAGCATAACAACAACAAGAATCAAAACTATAATATTTGTCATAACAATCATGATAATAATAACAACAGTAGTAATAACAATCTGAGGTCTCGGGGTCTAGGGTTGAGGCTCCGGGGGCGCAGCTGGCTGTGAAGCTGAGTAAGGCGGTACAAGTGGAAGGCTCGACCCGGCGCTCCAGCGAAGAAGCGTTCGAATCTTTACAGTAAGCTCTATAGGGTTTAGGGTTTAGGGTTTAGGGTTCGGGGTTTAGGTTTAGGGTTTAGGGTTCGGGGTTTAGGGTTTAGGATTTATTGCAGTTTCTGAAAATGGGGACCCTAAAATGGTATCCTGAATAGTAGGATCCTTATTATAGGGAGCCCAAGAGAAGGTACCCGAACCTTTCCAATCAGTTCTAAGTGTAATACAGGGGCCTGAATAGTTAATATAGGACTGTGGAGCATACTACTATACCATCATCATAAGGAACCCCCAAAATAGTATAGTTATTAAGGCTCCTATAGCAGGCGCTTTAATTGATAGAATAGGGTTTGGCGCAGGTTTGGCGTGCATGTTATGGTGATAAATGCATCAGGACTGTGAGGGGAGACACTCCAACCCCTAAACGGGCTTCGAAGTACATATCTGGCCAGTACAATGCGAGTGAGTACCAGCCTGGACCTGCCGGAACCAGCGAGAGGTCTTTGAAAGGAACCCTAGCCCACTAAACAATGGGATCTTGATCATGTGGCTCCCTAAGATCCCTGATCAAGGATGCGAAAAAAGTGCCAAAAAACCCGCACCCACGCTGTGCTTGCGCCTCCGTTCCCCTTGACTCCATGTCGCGCCGTGGCTCGTTGGCTCCACTTCTGGCATGATCGAGTCTTGGGTCTCGGGATTGGGGTTGCAGGCAGTACCTGGACCCTGAAAAACCTACCTTTTTAGGGCCCCCTAATATGATTTCTATATATAAGTCCTTAAAAAGGTAGGTTATTTGGGGTTCAGGTAGGGATAGAAGATTCGTCCTGCGCTCGAAAAACAAGGGGGCCGATGTCCACACAAAAATGCTCTTTTGCACTGGCACTGCAATAAATCTCGGCAAAGGCGGGGTGGAGAACGTTCGACACCACCAAGAACCCCAAACCCCCACAACCGGAAAGCCCGGTAAGCACCACATGACTCAAATGTCACATTCCGGAAGTCTGCGCCAAAAAAAACGTAAAGCTAGAGCAGAGTTGCAAGAGCACACAAAACCCGAAGACTGAATCCACCACAAAGCCCCAAATATCCATCAAAAAGGCAACGCAAGCACACAAACCGCCTACCAAACCAAATCCTTGACACTCAACAGATACCCCTCCGACACAACCGGCAAAAAAAGAACATCGACGAGGATCCTAAACCCTTTAACTTAGGTACTGCCCCCCATACAGTAAGAGTCTATAATAGGGCTATTATTAAGGGCCTAATATATCTATATTATTAAAATTATCCAACTGTTACTGAGTGGGGGCAGTATCCAACCTAAACCCTTTAGCAGAACTTGGCCATGGAAGCTTCGACAGGATACTGCACCCTGAAGCCCCTAGGCCCGCAGAAGAAAACTCCAAAAACGACGAACTCGACACCTTAAAATGCTTCACAAAACAAAACGGAAAGAATGCAGAAAAAGCCTGCAAGAAATAACAAAAAAAGTACCGGAGGCCTCTACACCAAGCAAGGCCTTCAAAAACAAGCCTCCAGATAATGCCCCACGCCGAAGGGCTCGGATGGTAGAATGAACCCTAAACTCTAAATTCCGCCAAAGGGCTCGGATGATAGAGGAACCCGGGGCCGCAGCTCTCCTGCGTCCTTAGCGAGGAAGAAAGGAGATTCTCTGCTCGAAGAAAAGCGAGGGCCTTAAGAGTTAAAGTAGTGCTTGTGAACATGCTGTAAGTTACTAAGGGTTGAGCGTCGAAAAGGATCAAATTTAAGAAAAAATTAGGATGAGGGCAGGTTTACATGTTTACATACGGCTTCCGGCTCCGATCAAGTTCCCGCTTGTCTACACTGGCGTCGTCTTCTTGTTGCAGCCCCTTCCTGGCTTTCAAGTTGCACCTCCCTCGAAACCATGCTCATCAACTCCTGCAGGGGCCCTAATAACCAGAATAGGGTTTTAGGCTCCTTTGTTGTAGAGTTATAATATGGAGCCCCAACAGCAAGACTAGTAACTATTTAGGCTTCTATGCTAGCAATGTCATCTTCGTACCAGAACTGCCCGCCTGCAGGTCCCGGGTTTAGGACTCTTCGGTGTAGGGCGTCGGGGTTACAAATGTTGACCAGGGTTGTTTGAAAAGAAGGCGACTGGTGGCACCGTACCCAACATAGTCATGAGACTCGGGTTGACAAGATTTTTCATTGGGCATAAGTTCAGGCCATAGGACCAGATTGCCTCTGGGATCGTGCTTAAACTCTATAAGAGTTCAACAGCGCCACCTTGCCATGAAAGGCTGACCCCTGATCTCAGAACCTTCCCTACTTGTCGGGTATCATGGGGAACTAAAGGTTAACCTTTTTGGTTATATAGGGATTATATAGGGACTATACTACCAAAAAAGGCAGAAGGTTACCTACTCGACTACTAAGAGCCCCTTATACAACCCCTATAGATCCCTTAGAGGAGCCCCTTAAGGATACCCTAAGCCCCAAAAAAGGTTGAAGGTTACCTACTCGACTACGAGGCTTCCATTGTTCTGGGCGACAGGTTGGAGCGCGAGCCGGCGCCCATGGACCAGGCGGCGCCGGAGCCTCCAATAATGATAGTAATAATAATAGTAATAATAATAGTAATAATAATAGTAATAATAATAATAGCAATAATAATAGTAATAATAATAGTTATTGTAGTAATAATAATAATAGTAATAATACTAGTTATTATAGTAATAATGCAAAAGGACCAAAGGTCCTACGAATGACTGTGTCGGTTTGGGAATGTGCATGTTGGGGTGTAGAGTTTTAGCCTTAGGGGTTTAGGATTTCCGGGATGAGGGTTGATAACGGTTTTGTAAGGGCTTGGAGAGAATTTTAGAAGGGTTTGATTCAAGGCGCGAAGTTTCAGGATGTGGGGTCTTGGTTTTCGGTGGTTAAGGCTTGGGGCTTCAGGGTCGCAGGATTGTCTTGCATTCAACATGTCAAGGCTTAGGGTATAAGGCCCAGAAATTAAGGCTGGCACCCGGATTTAAGGCTCAATCTTTTCAGGAAACCCTAAACCCTGAACCCCAAACGTTCGTGCAGAGCTTAGTTCTCTTCTCTGGTTTGACGGTCTGGTTGGGGATAGCTGAAAACTCCCAGAGTCAAAACCCCACTGAAACCTCAAACCCTGCAACCGTAACCCGAAAGACCCAAAAAAACACCAAACACCGTCCTTTGCTTCTTGCTGGCCTCACACAAACTTTCTAAACTCAACAACCCCGACAGCCCCGGACTCCCTGAATTCAAAGGCGAAAAGGAGGGACCCTTAATGGGGACCCCTACCCTATAATGGGCTATATAATGGGTATATAATACCTATATGAAGGGTATATGCCTAGGGGTCCACACTAAGGGTCCCTCCTTTTACCCTTGCATGAATCATCAACCCTGAACCCGAAACCCTAGCCCGAGGCTTCTGCGGATCCTCGGAGAGAAAATGGGATTCCGATGGCCCTTTCTAAAGCTTTTATGGAATGGGAGTGTTAATATTAGCAAGGGGTAAACAAAGGGTCGTGTAGGGGGTTCCGTAGAGCTTTTCAGAAGGGGTCTGAAACAGCAAAACATCTCCACGAACTTCGCGACAGGTCGCACAGAATGCAACCCCGAGCCCCAAGATCCCAGCCCGTTGCCAAGAATACTGGGTTCGTGTTAAGGGCTTTGATCTAAGTTACCAAAACAAGGAAATCATATTATGTACTATAGGTTCGTGTTAAGGGATTTGATTTAAGTTGCCATAACAAGGAAACCAACCACATTCCTTAGTATAGGTCCCTCTTGTGGTAACTTAACACAATTCCTGAACAAGAACCCAGGAAAGGCATATCTGGCCTTGACCACACTCACCTGTCACGAGGCGGAGATCCCAAACCGGAAACCTACACTCGGGTTTCAGGGCTTAGGGGTTTAGGATTTAGGGTTTAGGGTTTTAGGGGATAGGGGTTTAGGGATTAGGGCTTAGGGGTTTAGGATTTAAGGTCAAGGACCCTCAACTGCAAAGGGCCGCGTGCGCAACAAACAGAATTAGCACGACTTCATTGTTTCTTCTCGAGATTCATGTATGAAGATAAACGGAAGAAGCCGCTAACCCTTCACGCGCGGAACAACGTACAGTCACCCAAGGCCTGGGACAAGCTGTGACCTTGTGGGTTTTGCTTCTCAAGCACAGCGACGAGAGAGTATTTCAATCGAGCTTCTAGGTCATCTTGGGACTAACAAGCTGAACAAGATGGTGAACAACCCTCCTGACCATAATCATAACCCAGATCCTCAAATAAATCCCCAAACCCTTCAACCTCCGAAAGCCTAAGCCTCTAGGCGCAGTAACCTGCAGTAACCTCGACAGCATAAGTCCTGGAAAGCTGCGAGCGTTAACATTTACTATGCGTCGATTTCAACAGTCCCCAAAATAATCTAGAATTGGGGCATTATATAATATTAAACAATAAAGCAAGGAATTTAAAAATACTCCCTAAACCCTTACCCCTAGGCCCCAAACCCCTTACCTAGTTTAGGTCCCTACACCAGAATCCTTATACTAGCCCTTATAGTAGCTCTTATAGACCCCTTTAAAAGGAACCCTTAAAGGAACCCTACTCTACTACGGTTGATGATATAAATCCTGCATTACCCATAATCATCAACAGTACCAGTCCCTTGACATCGGATCCCGCCTCCACTAAAGCGCCGCCCTGTGCGGGGAGGCCGGAACGAAGTCGGACGAAGGCTCGGGGGTTGAGGGCTTGCGGTGTATGTGTATAGGTATATATAAATAATGAATAAATGCATAACCAAACAAATAAATGAAGGACTGTGTATATCTATGTATATATATATATACACACATATTTTTTTGTATGTACACGTTTGTTTGTTTATTTGTTTATATGTATACATACATGTGTATATATATATATAAGTTTGAGGTTTGAGCTCCCATCAACAATCCAGCTGCGGAGACTCCGGTCACAAGCTTCGCTATTATTGGACCCTTCTCGCTGTATAGGCAGAACGATAGGGTTTAGGGTTTAGGGTTTAGGGGTTAACGGTTTAAGGGTTTAGGGGTTCAGGGTCAGGGTTTAGGGGTGTATAGCAGCATGCGCGCGGTGGGTGTGCCTGTTACTTTAGCAATAAGGGGCGCGCCCACTAAGGGTTCACCCCCCAAGCCCCCCTCAAGGAGGGCTTTCTTGCTCTCTGCTTCCTTTCGCAGCTTGACATGTAAACAACAATATTTCTCCAGAAATCACAGCTGAAATGGATTGCTGTCGGGTCCTCGCGGCCTGTGCCGGCCGCTCGACAAAAAGCAAGGTTTCCAACATACAATTTGGTTCTCGCGCCCTGTAAGAGCTCCTCGAAGTGTGAACAAGGTGGGGCAAGAGGGCCAGGGCAGGGGAGGGCAGCCGGGCAGTGCAGGGCAGGGCGGGGCAGGGCAGGACAGGGGCGCAGTGAGGGCGAACACAAACAGTTTTTGTCCAGCTCCCCCACTGCACCTGTATCCCTGGAGCCTGGGGCCCCAGACCCCCCCCCTGGGGGTACCCCCTACAAAAACACAAGCGACGCCAACGATGAGGGCTTTGGGGTTCTTCTTTATTGCCTGACGGCAAAGAAGTCACTCGCGGGGCAGCGTCACTACAGTCCCCGTCTACCGGCAGGCTTTACCCTCCCTCACCGTTCTGACGGGACGCTCGGTCGCGGACCTCGGTCGGAGCCTCGAGCGCCCTGCATGGTCAGCAGCGCTCTCGGCAGTTTAGGGTTTAGGGTTACTTTGGAAATGGCCTTTCATCTCACCAATCACAAGACCACAGGTCTGCCCGGCCCATCTCCGTCTCTTAACCCTAAACCCTTGAGCCTAAACCGCATGCAGGCCTACGGTGGGTTTCAGCTTGTAGTGGCCCGCAGCTGGGTAGTCGATACGAGAGTCCTTGCCATGGAGGCATCCGATGTCAGGATCCGAAGGACGTAGGAGTTGAGGTTTTCGAGGCTTCGGATTTTGCACTGACGGTCTGTGGCTACTTCGCGTTGAGCGCAAAAAAAGGAGGGAAGGCGGTCACAGGATAATAAGATAGTCCGGAAAACAAGTGTAAACATGAAAAACAAGACTTAACCTGCCAAATCTCCGGCATCTCTTTCAAGCGCTGGCCAATCCTCGGCAACGAGCAACGCCCTAACCCCTCTCAACGAAGCCATCTGGGTAGTTGCCAAAATTATGGTCCCTTTTTGGGTCCTTTATCTAAGGTACCCAACAAGGGACCCTAATTTTGACAACTACCCATCTGGAGGCTTGAGGGGTCTTGCAGGATTTAGTGGCGCCGGTAGGGTTCAAGATGTTTTGGGCTTAGGTTCAGGAGTTCCGGGCTTCGGGGCTTGTTGGATTTGGGAGTCTGTGGATTCAGGGCTTGAACCCAGCAGAATAGTTCAGTGGCGAAAGTTTAGGATTGAAGCTGCAGGCCTTCCAGTGCAAACCGGCTTCAGGCTCTGCTGCTCACTGCATGCGAGAATCAGAAGGACATCAGGACATCAAAAAGACTGCGGCAGTGCTTGTGGCCGTGTTCTTCCGGTCACTGGTATCGTCACGCATGGTTCACTCTTGTTCGCATTGCTATTGCTAGTAGTAGCGCTACTGTATATCATTATTAGTATTGCTGCTGCTACTGCTGCTGCTGCTGCTACTACTACTACTACTTCTTCTTCTTCTCCTACTACTACTACTACTACGACGACGACGACTACTAAGACTAATGATTGCATCGAAACCCTGATTCCGACCAATTCGATTATCATCCATCTCCATATCGATGTCAGTATGCTTCAAGACCTCAAAACCTAAACTCTAAGCCTTCATACCAAAAAAACTCTAAAACCCCCAACAGCACCAAGCCGCTTCGCAGTGGGGCCGAAGGGGATGCCATGATGTGCCGTGAACTCCCCGGGGCCTACCTGGATGCAGCTTCAAAAACTTAGGCCTGAAGAGGTGAGGGATTTGAAGGCTCCAGGTTGTAGAGATTAGGGATGAGGGTTTCAAGGTTACAGGTTGTAGAGCTTGGGGCTTAGGGCTTACAGGTTGCAGGCGTTAGCGTCTAGGGATCAGATTATTGGTTTTATGGTTTGCGGCCCACGGTCATCCATTTAAAGGCTTCGTGTTTCGGATCGAAGTCAGCTTCGACTCCCAGAAGCTCGTGACACTCTACGAGCACCGGCAAAGACACCTCCTCGCTGAAGGGCTTTAGTCACAGCTCGTTTGCGAAAATGGGGGGACCCTAGTAGGGTTCCTCTAAAGGGTACTATAAGGGCTCTTTGAAGGGATCTATAATAGGGGTTCAATTAAGGGTTTAGGGTTTAGGGTTTGGGAGTTTCCGAAAACAGGGGACCCTAATATAGTACCCTAGATGGTAGGATCCTTATTATGAGGACCTCAAAATAAGGAACCCCCAGAATTTTCGGAAACTCCCAAATCCCAAACTCTGAACCCTCAACCCCCTTGGATCTTCGACTTTGACGGAAGATCTGTGCCGGCTAAATTGATACAAGCCCATAAGGGCTTCTTTAAGGGTTTTTTTTTACAGGCTCCTTTAAGGGATCCTCTAGGGTCTCCGTTAAGGGCTCCTTTAAGGGTTCCTTTATGGGTGGCTTTCAAGTTTAAATGAAGCCTCATCCTGCACCTTCCTCCAAGTGCTCTCGCCTGCTTTTCTCTGCTATGTGCTATAGAGAAGCGTAGGATTTTAGGGTTGTTTTTTGAGCACCTTTTCCGCCTAGCAGTTGTAAGATTGGCAAGATCCACAGGTGTGGATTTTAGGGTTTAGGGTTTAGGATTTTAAGGTTTCGGGCTTAGGGTTGGGGTTTTAGGGTTTTTAGGGTTTTTAGGGTTCAGGGGAACCAAAACATCAATGGCCATGGCACTAGTCCACGAGAAGCCTCAAAGCCCGAAAGCCTAAAAATTCCTGACTGCCTTAAACCCTGAAACAGAAACCCTACATTATACTACAAAGGTACTTAAGACGCTTAAACCTTAAACCCCTATACTTCCCTTAAAGGGATCCCCTACAAACCCTACAAATTCTACACGCCCTACAAACCCTGAAGCCGCTAAGCCGCTAAGCTCTGACCCTTTGCCCCAAAATCCTGCAAACCATTAACAGCCGAATTGAACCCTGTAGAACCCTGATAAACAAAGAAAGCGTGTTCAACAAAAATCAAGAGCCTCCAATACTACGAAAAAAGAAATCGTCATAGAGCCATATATTAATCAAACATGTCCTTTGTAACCCTGTTGATTACCTTTTTGGCACAACAGACCGTGCCTCCGACACTTGCAGCGTGTTCTCAGAGCGACCTCCTGTGAGGTGTCCGGGGCGCTTCAGTTGTTGGACCCACGGGGAGGGCGCCAAAAGAAGATGTCCCGTAAAGATGGTTTTTGGCGGGTCTGTAAACCCCAAACCGCAAAGGTTCGGGTGGTTTTGAGACAGTGAGGCTTGCAGCGACAAGAGGTCTGGATTGCTAACGCCGTTCGAGGCCTGCAGGAATTCCTTCCTGCTGCCTCTCGGAGATAATACTCGCTTCTGGATCGTCGGTTGGCAGGTTTGGGGTTCGAGGCCTTCGGGTGCTGCGGTTCAAGCTTGGTGTTGAGTCGGCGTGGCGTTCCTGAGGCGGAGGGCTTTGTCCGGGCCCAGGGGCACCAAGTGATGTAGTGAACTTCCAGCAGGGGCCACCAGAACTCTCTAAACTCTAAGCCTGCATGGCCCGCGCGAAACCTGCACAAGCCGGCAAGTACATAGCAGCATTACTACCCGAAATCCTCAGCCCTAACTCCCGACTCGTGTTGCCCTAAACCCTAAACCCTAAGTTCTTCCTTAAACCCCCCAGCCCTTTCCATCGGTTCGGCCCTTGCCCTGCATTCGAAGCTCGGCCAAACGTGTAGCGAACACGGAGGCTGTGACCCGAGAACCCTAAGGATTGTGTCGGGCTTAGGGTTTAGGGTTTAGGGTTCAGGGTTTAGGGTTTCAACCATAAAAGACTCTTATTAGACCGAAGTGCCAAAAAATTCCGACCCCTCCCCCGGCCGCCGCACGCCTGTGCGGTTGCCCCAGGGGACTCGTGCCGAGCTCGACCAGGAAGGTTCCTGTTTAGGGTTTAGGGTTTAGGGCTTTTAAGCTTAGGGTTTAGGGTTTAGGGTTTAAGTTCAGGGTTTAGGGTTGAGGAAAGGGGTCATAACCAAGGCTTTTCGGGTGCGGGGCTACAGGTATACCGTGATCAGTACTTTGCCTTTTCAGAACCTGACTGAGAAGCCGCGAGACTCAGGTACATCTTCCCACTGTACGCAGTTCCAAGCACTTTAAAGGCGAAGGTTCAGCTTTTTGAAACCGGGGTTTCAGAATTAGGATCTAGTCCAAGTTAAGTTTTGCGAACTTAGGGCTTACAAGTTAATATCGATCGCATCTCCCACCCTTCCTAGACTCAAAGCCTTGTCGCAAACACGATGGAGGTTGTAGGCAGCCGGTCCAGGTGTCGCTGTGCCCCTGCAGGGTTCGCTCGAAACCAAAGGCCTTTTAACAATATTAACGGCTTCGGAACGACTGCGCAGCCGATAATCAGATAACCCCGTTGCGTTTGGGGGTGCGCGGCTTGAAATGGCTTTAAACCTGTTGAGTTTGGGGGTACGCGGCTTGCAATGGCTTGAGTTTCAAGCCGGCCCCTCGTGAATTGAAAAAGATGAAGGATTTATAGGAAAAGGGATTAGACAACAAAAGCAAGAGGGATCGCTATTGAAAACGATCGAAGGGGCAGAATATACCAGATTTCCAGCACAAGAAGTAATGAATGACTGGCGGGGCCTCATTCAAAAAATGTGCGTGTGCGTGTGTGTGTGTGTGTGCATGTATGTATATATGTATACACATACACGTAAACACATGCATACATATATATATATATACATCCAAACCATTGGTATAGGTAGGAGTTTGGATATATACACACAAATCTATAAGTTATACATACAACAGTACAGGTGTTTCCTCCATGCAAAGAAGCCCTCTCCGCTCCTCCCAACGATGTCCCCTCGCGAGGCGCCGCCGAAGCCCCGGTTCAGAGTTCTCCCTCGGCAAGCTTCTGAGACTTAAGAAATGGGCGTTTCCAAAATAGGGGGTTCCTTATTTTGGGGGTCCTTATTATAAGGATCCTATTTTTTTAGGGTACTATATTAGGGTCCCCTATTTTCCGAAACTCCCAAATGCTAGGGTTGGAACCCCTCCTCCTGGTTGAAGAAAAGGTAAATGAAAGGCAATCCTAGACGAGATTTAGGGTTTGCTGCTTTAAGGGTTCTCAGGGATTTAGGTCCATTTAGGTTTTAGCTTCAGGGTTTTGGGGTTTAGGGTTCACGGGGGGGGTTGTAAGAAGCAGAATAGGAGGCTTCTCTGAGCGCTAGAGAAGGGATCTTTAAGAATTCGGGCAGGAAAAAGCTGCATCACCATAGGTGTTTCCCCTAAACCCTAAACCCTAAACCCAAACTTTGGTTTCCTTGCCATGCAGGTCCAACCCCTCCTTTCCACCTTCAATCCCTCATGAAAGCCCCGAAACCGGCCCAGGGCTCGAACTACAAAGCTAGGGCGGGTCGTATACTAGGATACACAGTAACCTAAGAATAAAAAGGCCTCTCTTTTTGGTATTGGGTAACTTTATAAGGAACCTAGGACTACAAAAAGGGAATAAGGGTACTACTGGGCATCCTAGTATAGTGTCCTCCATCTCATCAAGGACTCTGAGCCCTTCGTGTGCCTTGGATCCTGAACCCCAAATCTCATGGGGCCCCCGACGCTTCGAGCGTCGGTTGCGCAGGGAGGCCTCGTTTTGCGAGTGTGGGATTGAGGGTGCAGGGTTCCGGGGTTGAGGGGCTTCTAGTAAAGCTAGTAGTGCTAGTGGTGGTAGTGGTGCTACGCAGCAGTGCTAGTAGTGCTGGCAGCGCTAGTAGCACTTGTCGTGCTAGTAGTGCTAGTAGTGCTAGCAGTGCTAGAAGTGCTGGCAGCGCTAGTAGCACTTGTCGTGCTAGTAGTGCTAGCAGTGCTAGAAGTGCTAGTACTGCTAGTACCGCTAGTACTGCTACTCGTAAAAGCAGTAGTAGTCGTCGTCGTCGTAGTAGTAGTAGTAGTACCAGTAGAAGAGTGATAGAAATAGAAAAACAAGGCGGCTTATGCTGCACTGGCTGTTGCAATGCCGTACTCCGAACATGCGGTGCCCAAAACCATGCCTCTTTGTCTTGTAGTTCTGTTTCATGCAACCTTGACTCCTTACCGTCTTCCCAGCTCTTCTGCCTTTGCTCGTTACACAACCAACTGGTCCACCAGTTCTGTCCACTTGTCTCCTGCCTTTTTACTCTGTGGACACACATAAACATCTTTGTGTAAATACATGTGCATATCTGTATACATATCTTATATACATATATGAACACTGTGTAGAAGTACATATGAATCTCCACATATATATATATATATACACATACATGCCTGCATACTCTAAACAGCCCATGTCAATGTTTGCCCTTCTCTGCTACTCGTACTCTACCTACTCTCCTTCTGCATCACACTATTACCGTGGCAATCTACCAGCTTTGGACTCGCATTCTGCTTATGTAGGAACCTGATTAAGGAAAACTTGGGCCTTTGTTCGGGTTCCTTGTATGAGTCCTACTATTTTGGGGTTATAGGCCCAGGGTTTCCTAATCAGGTTCCTATATTACTCTAGTGCTTCGTACTCCCTTGCTGTACTCTCGCTCCCTCACGCCCGCACTTGCTTACTCCCTCGTTCTCCTTATGACTCTCGCACGTCTACACCCGTTATGCCACGGTTCTCTGTAGACTACATCCTCCGCATCAGGATTTGGGAGTTTCCGAAAATTAGGGGTACCTTACTTGGGGGCCCTTATAACAAGGATCCTACTATTTAGGGTACTGTATTAGGGTCCCCTATTTTCGGAAACCCCCATTTATCATCGCAGGGTCCAAGACTCCTCAGTCCCCAGGCTCCTGTCGCGAACGAGGCACCAAGCTTCCCGTGGACTGACTCCGTGGGATGGGCTCTGGAGAGTCGCAGCGCGACTTACCTTGCGGTTGAGGGTTTAGGACTTTTGGGTTCAAAACTAGTGTGGTCTCAAAAATGAGTTTGGGGTGTGGGACTTCGGGTTAAGGCTTTACTGGGAGGGTGAGCATGAGGCTTAGCATTAAGAGGTACCACAAGGACTTCTTGTAGGGGTTTTGGGGCTTATTGTTTAGGCCTGGGCGGGCTTGAGTGTAGAGTTTCGGGTTTGGGACTTAGGCTTTCAGGGTTTAGGGGTTATTATGTAAAGCTTCGGCTTTTATGGGTGCGGGTGAGGGGGATCTCGGGTTAGGGGTTCTAAATCAGCAATCGTCCGTAGCCTGCAACACTTCCTTTGCTTCAAAACCGGTCACGGCATGTCAAGCTGCCAGGCAAGACCGATCCCCCGTAAACTGTCAAACTAGCAAGTGCTCTGAAGCCCCGGACTTACGATGCAGCGTCCCGTGTTACTGCCTTCGCTTCTCAGGTTTGCAGTGCAGTCGCAACTACACTACACTGGACCTCCGTCATTTACGGTGGCGGCTTTGTCCGGGAACCCGAAGCAGGTACTTTGTCATGGTCTCCACAACCCAGTCTCCACCCAACGCCAGCTTTATTTTCGTCCTCATAACCGTGAACTCTGAACCCTAAGCCTAAACGCCTAAACTCTAAACCGTATCCTAATCTCACACAAACCAACAGTGTCTGGCGGCCGCCCCCGAAGGACCACTTCGGAGGATGGTGGTAAGATGGGGCCACGCCCTGCAGCTTTTGGATTCTGTTAGAAAACATAGTGGTTCCAGATAAGGTTTCGATACCTGAGGCATGCCTTCGAAGGTATTGCCCACCAAAATCCAGAAGAGGGCTTATAATTAGGGGTTTGGGTGTAAGGTTTAGGGTTTAGGGGTTAATTATAAGGCTATTTAAAGTGAAGCGAAATTTTCCTCTGCTAACAACTTATGCAGGCAATGACTCGACTAAAAAGTGATTGAAGCTTTTGCCTGGCGCTTGTAGGTGTCTTCAGGTTTTGACCGTACGGTCTCTGCTTCAAGCTATCTTGGTGTTCGGTGCAGGGGTGGGTGCATTGTGTCGTCGTCTGCACTCAACGCCTTAGAGATATTGAAGCGATTCAGGAGGATGCCTGCAACGACAAACCAAAAACTTTAGGCACAGATGCGAGAACGACTGTTGGAAGTACCGAAAACCGGACGCCCCCAAAGCCCGAAATGTCCTGTAAAACCATGATCTGAAACGACATGCCACACTCTCTAAACCCTAAATCCTAAACCCTGAAGATAAATCTGCGGTCATCGCCTGTCCCAGCGTTTTCGCTGGCGTGTATGCCTTCGCCTGTCAGGTCTGCAGCGGCTTCTCAAGCTTGCAGGCGTTACGAAAACTCTCTGTCCTGAGAACTTTGAAACTTGGTTCTTTAGGGTTTAGGGTTTAGGGTTGACCAACCCCCCCCATTCTCAAACGATCCCTCCCGAAACCCCCACCCAGGTCCTTTCCCTGCCAGACGTAAACCCTTAAAGCCCTAAAGCCCTACACCCAAAGCCCTAAAACAGAGCCAAGGGGTTTCTGATTCAGGAATTTAGGGCTCATGGGTCAGTATGCGCCTGGTTTTGAGCTGGGGGACCCGAGTTGATTCCAAGCCCAATGTCCTAAACCCTAAACCCGACTTCAAACCCTAAACCCTGAACCCTACCTCAAACCCTAAACCCCAAACCCTACTTCAAACCCTAAACCCTAAACCCTGCCCCAAATCCTAAACTCTAAACCCTAAAACCCTACAGATCCCTTATAGATCCCTTAAAGGAGCCCGAAAAACCCTGCCCCAAATCCTAAACAGTTTTGAAACCTTGCGCTAACACGCGAACTCGGCGTTTTCGCCTTCGGCTCGCCCGAAGGCAGGGGCGGAGCTAAGCTCGCCCTCTCCTGAGCTGCTTGGGGTTTCGGGTATAGGGCTTAGGGCTGGGTTTAGGGTTTAGGGATAAGGGTTTAGGGATTAGGGATCAGGGATTGGGGTTTGGGGTTTAGGGTTTAGGGTTCAGGGTTTAGGGTTTAGGGCTTAGGTTGAGTTTGATTTGGGTTTAGCGTTGGATCGTTTTAGGAGTGTAAAAGTGAAAATACATCACTGGCCCGAGGCCTTCAGATGGGCGGCGCTGGAGCTATCGAGCCTTGCCACGCAGTTGCCGAAGTACTGCCCGAGGTATCTGGGCCTTCATCTGCGGAAGTTGGACGGGCACGAGTTTGCAACGTTTGCGGGTATTTTGCTACTACAATCGGATAAAGCTAGAACTCCTCAATGCCCTGCGGGCTACAGGAAAACTGAGTGCCTCTTGCCTCCGACATGCTTGGGAGCTCCCCGGTGTTCGGGAGAACGGAAGGTTTATGGTTTAGGGTTCATGGCTTCTGGGCGTGGGGTGCGGGTCTTCGGTTCTGAGAGGCTCCGCTTTGCTCTTAGAGGCTGCAAAGCTTGGGTTGGGGACTTAGGATTGACAGGATTTGGGGCTAACGGTTTACGGTTTAGGGACGTTGAGTTTTAGGGTTTAGGGTCGAGGGGAATTCGGGCTTGAGGGTGTAGGGCTCAGGGGTCCGGCAGTGCTTATGGCTTTCAGCTATTGCAGGAGCCTTCATAATCTAATTGGGCCAATTACACTACAATTGCTGTAAGGAACCCCCGAAATAGAATCGATAATTATTACAGGCCCTATACCATAGAACCCTACTATAGATCCCTGATAGACCCTTTAAGGAACCCCCCCAAAATAGTTGGGCTCCTGTGTTACCCCGCGGCCGCCTCGTCGTGGCTGCCGCCTCTGGAAGCTCCGGGACTTCGTCCACGACATCGAAGCCTTACGGCGCTTGCAATTGGGAAAGAGGGTTTGGGTCTTTTTGGGTTTAGAGTATATAGGGCTTGAGGGGTTTGGGGTTTAGGGTGTAGGGCAATCGGGCAAAAGACGCAAAGCAGATCCGCTTCAGAGTGAAGGTACACCCAGTAGGGATCCTTCAACCACCCCCCCAGCCCAAATGGTCCATCACGACTGCTCACACACCTTTACTGTTGCCAAAACCCTAAACCCCCCGCCACGCCACCCCCCAAAACTTCAAAACCCTAAACCCTAAACCCTAAACCCTAAACCCTGAACCCTAAACCCTAAACCCTGAACCCTAAACCCTAAGCGTGGATCTTCCTGCGAACCCGGCCTTCGTCGCCTTGCGGAAGAGGCTCGGGCTCCTCATGCCCATAGGGTCTCAGAAAACTCACACCCTAATGTAGGGTTACTTTCAACAACTAGAACAGGCTTTCGGTATGCAGTTTTGTATACTCATTTAGAAACTGTCAGTGTGTATTTTTACCCGAGGGACGGAACATTACTGTTATCGGACATCATGCCTTCAGAAAAGCGAGTCCAGCGAACCCGCGGCACTTTGGCCAGGTCAGAACTAACCTGGATGGTGATGCTAAAGCTGGATGATTGAATCAATCCCTGATCCTAAGCCCCATACCCTAAACCCTAAACCCTAAACCCTAAACCCGAACTCAGTGGTCAGGGCTGAGGATCCCGGATGAGGGAACCGAACCTTCTGGCGGCTCATGGCACTAAACTGCACACGGTTTAAGATAGGGTTTAGGGTTTAGGGATCCTAAAACTCGAGCCCTAACACCGAACCTGTGTTTAGGGCCCATGGGTGCTTTTCAAGGAGGATCCCTCACCAGGTGAACCCCGAAACCTTCAAGCACATCCACAACACACACACACACACACCTTTATATGTGTATATATATATACACATACATATATACATATACATATACATATAAATATATATAGATATATATAGATATATATATATATACATCTACATTGCTTCCTGAAGACCCCATATCCGCGAAGCCGAAAATGTTGACATGCCACAGCTCGCATACCTCCCGAACCCCTGATTCCGAAATCCCTGAAAGGACCAGCTGGCAGAAACGGCAAAAACCCGCAAAAAGCCTTGAACCCCGAAACCTACAGAAAGTTTTATGATAGCCGATGAACACCTAGAGCCCGGAAAACTTGAAAGCACGAAAAGCTTAGCAAGGCAAAACTCCAAAGCAGAAACGATCCTTGAAGCCTCACGAGCCCAAAAACATAGCAAGCCCTTAAACCCACAAAATCATATAGGTCTTAGGAGGGTCCCCAGTTAGGCCCTATCAGTCCCTATTAGGCCCTATAAGTCCCTATTAGGCTCTAAGAGAAGAGGCCCCCATATCCCGGGCCTTACCTTTAGTTACTAGGGAATGGAGGAATGCGGTACAATTACAAGTACTATTACTACCATTCCTCCATTGCCTACTAACCAAAGGTAAGTCTATCCCTATAGATCCCATTAGAAGGAACCCCAATAGATCCCTTCAAGGAGCCCTATACATCCCTTTAAGGAACCATTCCCTACTAACCGCCCGCAACCCGGGCTCCTGAGTGGCGGCGAAGAGTGGGGTGTCGAAGGCCGATGCGGGCACCGATTCCGGCGCCTCTGGGGTTTGAGGGCCTAGGGTGGCAGTGATAGAAGAAGCTCGGACAGGCAGCGAAGGCATATGTGGACATAGTTATTACATCAACCCCGGCGCCGAAATTTGGGGGTTCAGGGTTTAAGATTGGGAAATTAATAACTGATGAGGGCTCAGGAGATGTAGTGTCTATACGGTTTCAGGCTTGCGGCTTCAAAGTCTCAGGCCAAGGTACTTACTTGGTCGGGTTCCGCGTAAGCTCAGGATAGGCTTGATTTTGATCGTTTGCGGTTTAAGGTTTAGGGTTAGGATTTAGGGTTTAGGGTTTTTAACAGTTTGCGGCTTTCGGGTTCAGTCGGGTTGGGGTTTAGGCGGTTTAGGCGTTAGAGTTTGGGCTTGCCGGAACTTGGGCAACCGGCTCTGGGACTCAGGACCGTGGGACTTGCACATGCAACCGGTTCCCGAAAGCCTACACCCTCGAACCCCGAAGCACCCACTTAAAACCCTAGACTTTAGTTTTCATTAAGCTGCATTGTAACAAAGTTATGTTATATTCATATCAGATTACACTAGGTCATAACATGTTATGTCCTACCATATTTTTGTAAATTACCCTTTACCTCCCAAATGGAGATCCGACCACCCCGGGGCCTTGGACGGAAGAGGCTTCCTGGCAGGGCCATAGCCTCGGCAGGAGGCTTCGAGAAGCCGACGTTGGAGAACAGGGGATCGGATTTAGGGTTTAGGTTGGGTACTGCCCCCCCCTTACAGGGTTTAGGGGTTAAGGGTTTAGGGTAACAATCTATACTAGGGCTACTGTTAAGGTCCTAAGATATCTTTTTGATTAGATTCTTCCAACGGTTACTGAGTGGGGGCAGTACCCGAGGTTCAGGGGCTTAGAGCAAAGAAACCTCCAAACCCCGAACCCTGAACCCGGAGCCCGATAGAACTAATTGCGGCTACTCTTGCCATTGCTGCACCGGTGCTAAGGACAGCCGGATGGAATCGTTCCTGTTACAGCTACGGATACCCCTACTGCAAGTAGTCACTTCGGCTGTGATTGTCACTGCAACCGTTTCTGCTACTGTCGCGAATACCACTGGTACGACTCGTAACAGTGTACGAGTAGTGATATGCAACAATATTGAACTACCCCAGCTTGGGGTTTCCGCTTCAACCCCACCGCGGCATAATGAAATGGCTAGGGCTAACTTTTGAGGCTTAGGAGTAGTGCAAGGGTTTAGGTTAACCCTCAAACCACACACACCGCAGGCACAGGCTACTTATTTTACTCACCTCGTGCCAAAAGGGGCTTGAGCCAAAATGGCTACCAAGTACAGCTATACAACGGCAGTAGTCAGAACATGCTTTATATCCTGACACCCCTCCATGGCCAGCTGAATCCTTGAGCTGGACAGCTGACCTGCACTACTCACGGGTTGCAGTCTGTACAAGGACCAAAGCCTCTTTGCGTAGCCTCAGCCCTCTGCAACGTGTACGGGTTTTGGCCCAGGTGTCTACAGTGTCTCCTATGAAACTTCTTGCCCTTACGGGTGACGTAGACGGGGCTACCCGCATTCGCCTCTAGACCTCGTCGGTCCACGCGGCCTCCAGCTGTAGGGGCCGGCTTCGTTGAAACACGTGGCGTGTTCCACCACACAAACGCAAGCTTGATCCATCGCCAAATGGTCTGGATCGCCAAGATATGGATGATCAGCATGTAGATGAAGAAGGAAACGTCTTCAGTCTCGAGCTGGCGCTCCTTCGGCTGCCCCGTAGCCACGCCAAAGGACGCGAACAGGCACGCCATGACCAAGCCCCTTGTGAGAGGCATGCCCTTGACTAGCTCTGTCACTCTTGAGCCTGAAAGAGCTTTCGTGCCCAAGTCGGCCCAGTTACTCTTCGTAGGTTCCTTCTGCACCGTAAGCTGCTTTCTCTGAACACAGTCCTGTATCCAAAGCTCCTTCATGGACAAGTGCTTCACCTTGCCCGAGCCCTTGCGTGTCGCGATTCCTTTCGCTGCGCTCGAATCGGTTCTCAGGGTAAGCTTCAAACCCTTAAACCCAATCCGTTCCCAGATCTGCGCTGTCAGCAGTCCGGCGGCAGCTCCTCGCACCAACGCGTAAAACTCAGCCTCTCCAGAGCTGAGCGCTATCACCGATTGCTTGGCACACGAAGCATCGATGAGATGCTTCCCAAATCTCTCAGCGTAGCTGGACATAGACTTGCGCGTGCGCTTGCACGCTCCCCAGTCCGAGTCCGTAAGCACCACAGCTTCCTCAGGCTGCTCCTGGTACTCGTAGTGCCAAACTTCCTTCGGGTACTTCAGAAGGTAACGGCCTAGGTGCTTGAGCTTGAGCTCGTGTTCAACCGTAGGCTTTGCCATGCCAGAGGTGATCTCCGACAAGGCATACTGGATCGTCGGGCGATCCTGGGACAGGTAAAGCGCAGTACCAGCGAGTGTCCGGAACTTCGCTGCAGCCTCAGCGTCCAAAGGATTTTCGAGATCCCTGCGGCCTTTCCCACATTCCGTAGAACATGGGGCGTCTGCGCTCTTAGCGTCCGTAAGCCCGAGCTCCTCAACGATCTGCCGCGAGTACTTAGGATCAGCTTCCCAAGTGAACCCGCGCTCGCTCCATCGAATGATGCGGTGCAGATGATCGCCATGCGTGGTCTGGCCTCCGAACTCCTCAGGGCCAATCCGTGGCAATATCTTGCTCTCAAAGGATTGCATCATCAGCGCATCCAGTCGATCCAGATCATCGCTTTCGCCCTCAGCGATAAAGTCGTCGCCGTGGCAGCTCAAGGTCACGCACCACTCGTCGTGGTAGAAGAGGCCAGGGATTCCTGGAACCTCCCAGAAACCTGCCTCCGTCATGACCTCACACACGCGCTTTGACCACTGTCGCGAAGCCTCACGTGTGCCATTCATGGCTTTGAGCAAGTACCAGAGCTTCGATTGATCGAGATCTTTCGGAGGGACGACCGCAATTTTGCCCGTGGCCACCGCATGAAAGAAGGCAACAGAAACATCATACCGGGCAATAAGCTTGCGCCGGTTGGTCCTGCCAGCCTTTGCAGTGGCTGCAGCTGAAAGTACCATGCGGTGCGTCCGCAACGGCGGTGTTCCACTGAAAACGTCGTCGCGCTCGTGGTCGTTGATCTCTTGGGCTACGCAGCGGCTGCGCACCCCATTTGGATCATTGGGCAATGGTTTCCAACCATCCACCCACCGGCTTCGGACTATCTTTAGCCCCTGCCGTCGCGCCTCCTCCCAAGAGATGTCCTTCTTGACAGAGTGTTCCTCCATCTTGTCCAGCTCGCGCCCTCTTGCAGTCTTGACCTTGTCAACGGGAAGGGGCTGGCCTGTTCGCTCGTCGTAGGCACCAAGCTCCTCCACTCTGCCGTCCAGAGGGTAAGCAAACAAAGGCTCCCACTCGCCTTTCTCGTGGAGCGTGGGCAGTCCCCCCATCAACTCCTGGTCCTCAAGAGGACGCTTTTCACCTCTTGCTTCTGGCGTCTTCTGCTTCTTCGCTCCTTGTGAGCTCTTTCCAGTAACGCGGCGCTGCCCGCTGTCACTTGAAGGAGCGGGGACACCCGCATCCTCAACCTCTCGCTTCTGGCCTGACTTAGCCTCAGAGGTCCCCTCCATGGCCCTTGGCCTTGAAGGCTGACTCGGCTCGGTGCTTCCCGACTCCAAGTCTTGGCCGGTGCCCTGGGGCATCTCGGCCTGACCTCCTTCAGTCTCCATGGGTCCCGCAGGCGTCCCAGGGACTGGTGTACCAGGCGTTCCTGGCACCGGTTGCCTCGGGTACAACTTCTCGAACCTCTTACGGCACTCGTCGTTGTGCCGCTTTGGGTTGTCGTCATCACACTCACAGCCAGGACATCCAGGTGTCTTGCCGTGCTTGATCTGACGCTCCAAGGTGATATACACCGAGGGCTGCCTGCGACCTGGAGTCGCTGGGGCCTTGTTGTCTGAAGGCACGGTGGTTGGCTCTCCGCGCGGTTGCCAGGGAAGCCCAACCATCCCCTCGAGGTGTTTCAGCTCCCACCTCTTCTCTTCTGGCCTTCGCCAGATGCTTCTGCACCGACGGATCCCCTGAGCAGTGCCCAGGAAGTGCTCGTCGGAGGCAAGAGACTTGCCTAGCCAAACTCCAACTGACGTTTGCTTGTCCAGCTTGCCAGTCTTCTCTTTGTCAAGCTTGTAGTGCACGACCTCGCAGCACTCAGCAACTTCACCGCGGAAGTCCCGGCCTCGAAGCCTTTCGTAAGGTGTTCTCCCGTCCTGCTTCACCAAGAAACGGGAGATGAGCCACCCTGCGTGCCGCACCAACCACGGAAAGACAACCCCCTCAGTCTCCAGGGGCTTCTTGTAGCGATTCTCCAGCGCGCTCGCAAGAGTTCGCACCTGACGCGCCAGCTCCAAAATGGCTCGCTCGGCCGCGCCGTTAGATGCGTGAGAACCTTTCGGTGCAGTCTGGTGCTGCACGCTGCCAGTCCAGGACTTGGCGGCACTTTCAGCAAGTGCCCGGATGCTATGCTCAGCATCGCTCATCATGATGACCTTTTGGCGCCCGCAGAACTTGAGCGCTTCAGTCACCAATCCAGTGGCATACGGGTTAACGCCCTTAGCCACCACACCAGAGAAAACACAACCGGACTTTTCGTCCACGATCACCAGAATGGGAAGGAGACCATCCTTCTCATCCTGAGGCACCTTGACCTCCTCCACGGAGTTCACTGGGCCCTTCAAGGCCCGTCCCAGAAAACAGTAGTCCAGGGAGATGCGCGCCACCTCCGACGCGCGACCGCTGGGCTCCCGAGCTGAGTGCGCATCCTCACGCACCTTGCCGTGCATGCAGTGATCGCACCAGCTTCGCATGGGCAGATGCGTAAGCATATGCTCGTCAAACTCGGCTTTGCTAACCGTGTCCGGGATCTTCTTTGTCTTCGGCCGCCGCGTGGCCTCAGACACTTCCATTGGCACGTCGCCAATCTCCGGAAGCCTCTGGGCGGGGCCACCCGCGCCAGGGCCGTCAGTAGAACTCCCTGCACCGGCGGAGTTACCCGCACCAGGGTTCGCAGCGGAACTCCCCGCATCGGCGGGGCCGCCCGCACTTGAGCTTTGGCCCGGCTGAGCGGAGTCACCCGCTTCACCAGGCTCCTCGCCTTCACCTGCCAGCGCCTTTGCTGGCACCGTCTTCTTAGCAGCCCTCGTAGCTGCTAACACGTCTGGGTCTTCAACCCTTTCACTTTCTTTCACCACGTTCACTGGGAGCCAAAATACCCCTCTCTTCTTTCTGAGTTGCATCGTGTCTTTGGTCTCTCCTAGGGCTTTCCTAAGCTTACACGCATGCTTATCTAGAACCATACACTGCACACCGGGGCCAATCACCGTCCAGGTGCCTTTCGTGGCCGCTTGGCCAGCAGAAAGCACCGAAAACCTAACCTTTTCAGACTCGGCGTACTCTACCGAAAAGGTCCCAGCACTGGTTTCGAGCTGGCTCCTAAGCCTCTGGTCGCTAGCCAAGGGCTCACCCGTAACGGTAACCATTCCAGGCCCCGAAACACGAGAACCCAACAAAGCACCGGAGTCAAACCCTTTCCGAAACAGGTGAGACCCTGCCCCGTATCTACAAGAACCTCGGTCTCACTGGCCTCGGTGCTGGGCGTTGCCGCCACCACACCAAAGCAAAGGTCCGGCTCCTGAGGCGATGCAGACATGGGCTCTGGTTCCTCCTCGCCCTCAGCGGGGCTAGCCGCATGAGGTGTGCGGTTCTTCCCGCCACCTTTTGCTTTAGCTTTGGGCTTGGCTTTGGCATCGGCTTGTTTCTTGCGACACTCGGCTTCTACATGCCCTTTCTTATGGCAGTACCAACACTCACGGTCCTTGTTGGGGTTTGCGCCTTGGGGCTTTTGCTTGTCTGAGCCTTGGCCTTTACCCCCTTTGTCGCCTTTGCCTTTGCCTTTGTCTTTGCCCTTGCCCTTCTCTTTGCCCTTTTTCCACGGTGCAGCTCCAAGGTCCATTGGCTGCGGGAGATTCTGCAGGACGCGGTTGGTCCTCGAAATCTCCAAAAGTTCCGCCTTCACATCCGTAAAGGATTTGAGCCGGCTTGAGTTCCGGATGATGTGGCTTTGCAGGCTGCTGTCCTTTAGCCCATTCACCACAATGCCCAAAAGCATCTCCTCATCCAGTGTTTTGCCGCTCTCCTGTTCATACCTCCGGACGCTCTTTTCGAAGGCCGCTAAGTCCCCCTCAACATCATCACCAAACTTGCTTGAAAGCAACGTTGTGAGAGTGCCCACATAGCGTGACGCAACCCTCGGGTGGAACTCCTCAAAGATGCGCCGGTAGGATTCAAGACCTTCTCCGAGGCCCGTGTTGTAAGTGATGTCAAGCGGCCTACCGCGCAGGAGCATCACCAAGATATAATAGAGTTGGCAAGAAAGGTCCCGGTCCACATCCGAAAGAGCCCTGTTTGGGAAGCTCTTCTTGGAAAACTTTGCTTGCTCCAGCAGGTCAATGTACCTCGAGTCGATGCAGCTAAGGTAAGACTCAAAGATGAACGACCAGTCACTGAAGCTTTCCTCCGTGGACCCTTTGAAAACCTCGGGCTTCCCGAGTTGCCTGGTGTCTACCAGGCCGGCCCTTGGGGCCGGTGGATGGCTTGGGCCCGGCATGTCGGTATCGAAGGTGCTCTGCCTTCCCCGGGCTGCCAATCCTGACGCTTGCAGCTGCAACAGCTGGGCCTCCTGAGTCACCAGCCTGTTGTTCATTTGCTGCAGCATCAGATTAGTTTGCTGCAACTGCTGCTGGAGCTGCTGCTCCAGCGGAACCTGGCCCGCCTGTTGGGCCATCTGGGGAGCTTGGGGGGTCCCAATCAACCCCGCTTCCATCTCCATCCGAGCTCTCACTGCTCTCCTCGTCCTCCGTCAGGAGAGGAGCTGATGTGGCCTTTGGTTTGGCCTTGCTCTTTCGAGCGGTCCCCTTTGGTCGGGGCTCGGTGCGGTGCCGATTGGCCTCCGCAACCCTTTGGGCCAATGCCTTAGGAGAAAACCTCCTAAGCACGTAGTTGCGCACAGCCGGGGCGGCCTTGCGACGCCTGGTCCTGCAGGTACTGCAAGCTTCGCCGACCCGCTGCCTAAGCAATACCTCGCCCACACTGCCCTTAGGAAGCCTCTTCCTGATCGCCTCCTGGGTCTCCACTCTCTCTCGGAACCTCTGCTGCGCAAAGCGAGCGGATTGCTCGGTCAGGAACTCCTCTAAGTCCCTCTTGCGCCCCGAAGCCTGCTTGCTTCGTGTCGGCGCTACCGACCTCAGGACCCGATTTGCCTGAGCCTCCCGAGGAACCGATCGAAGGTCGAGGCGGCTCCTTTCCTTCCTTCGTCGCCTCTCCTTCTTCCACTTGATCTTCTCGTACCCAGCCTCTGTCTGCCTGGGCTTCCTTGGTTGGCTCTTGGCCGCGGTCGTCGCGAGGATCCGGTCTCGCTCCTGAGCCTCCTCCAGGCTATAAGTTAGAACCACCCGCCTCGGAGTACGACCTCGGCCCCTTGCCTCAGCTGACCCCCGGGCCGAGGGATCAGCGGCTGCCCTGTGGCTTCTTGGTGGCTCCTGCCGCTCCTCAGCGGCTGCAAGCCTTCTGGCCTGCCCGCGGTCCTGCCTCCTAGAGGTGGCCGCTTCACTTCTTTTCCCCCTCTTGTTCTTCTTCTTGGTCACCGGCTTTCCTTTGCCGCGACCTCGACCCGCCGTCTTGGCGGTCTACCTGCTGCCTAAGCAGCACTCGGGAGGACTATGCTCCCACACCAGCGCGGATCGGCCCGCAGCTGGTTCCTGTGACGCGGGACTTCCCGCGGTCACGTGTGGTGCGGGGCTGACCCGTAACCACCAGGGAGCGGGGCTTACCCGCGTCCCTTACCTTCGCGGGGCGACCCGCAGAAGGTGAGCACGGAGTCCCTTAGACGTCCGGCTCCGCTACCATGCAAGGGTTTAGGTTAACCCTCAAACCACACACACCGCAGGCACAGGCTACTTATTTTACTCACCTCGTGCCAAAAGGGGCTTGAGCCAAAATGGCTACCAAGTACAGCTATACAACGGCAGTAGTCAGAACATGCTTTATATCCTGACAAGTAGTGAAACAAAGGTTTGAAAGTACCTGCATAATCTGCATCATAACATTTGTCCTCGTAAACTGGAAAAGAAACCCAAACAGCGACTGTCCTTTCACAAACCAAACTCTCTGCTCTGTGATGTGCAGAAGAGATTTTAAGTATTCGCGATGAGGCTCTAGCTTTGGGAAGTCTAGAAGCCTGAAGACATCCGGTTTCGGGCGCTCCTGACACTTTCATCAATGCCGGTGCCTGAAACCATATCCCTACTATAATTTAAAGCATATTCTTAATTAAGGGATATTGGAGTCTCTGGGTTTGGGGCTTATGGCCTTTCATCAATGCCAGTGCTACTGATACCATGCAAGCAGAGCCTGGGCCACAGAGGTGTAGGGGTCTTGAAAATTAGAATAGGGCTTTGGGGCATATTATACTATAATTATAAGATGGAGACCCCCAGTGGTTTAGGTAATATTTAGGCCCCTATTGTAGGGTTTCTGGTGTGGCTTCCAATGTGCGCTGATTTACTTCGTTTCCGTGCCGTCCAGCAACTGATGGTGCCCCCACGAGTGCAATGCGACAGCGCCTGAGAGCGCAGCAGGTTTAAGGGGGAGGCCTGTTCGCTTGAGACAAATGATCTCAAGTTCAATGACATACGGCTCTCAGAATGTCGAATGCTCTAAAACTCCCGCTCCCCTCCCCCTGGTAGCCTTGAAGAAACCGACTCAAGTCCTCCATGTGCAGTTCCACGGAAAGCCGACTCTTAACAAACATCCACGAGGATAAGTATACGATCGAAATATTATAGCTATCAGAGCCCCATACCAGGCAACTGCTTTCAAAGCCCCGTCAAAAAAACGAAGCTCTGGGGGTTGGGGGGCTTCGCATCGACCATGAGCCATAGCCGGGGAGCACTCAAGCGGTCGCCCCCCGCGCTGGGGGCCATATCCTTTGTGGAGCTTTGTGCTTTGAGTCGACACAGAACCAGAACTTTCACGCTTGCGGTAGTAACAATATTTCTGCTTCTGCTGCCATCACGGCAACCATCCTTCGGTTTGCAACTCCACTGTTGTTTTCACCATGCTGTCGATGCTGGAGTCTTGTCTCAACGGCTTACTGTCATGATGCGGCAAATTGCCTAAGGGCGCGGTTGTAGGCTATGCTGCTAAAACCATAGTCATATCGAGCCATTACACAGTTGCCCTTACCATCAGCATGGATAATGCTAGCCGTCGTACTGACACTACCATTCATAGTGTTCTTGAATCTCTTACGGTTTCTAGCGAGCATCGGCTGCTGTCTCTGCTGGGAACAGATGTGTGCGACATCTTTGCACTTGCGGTCTGTTAGCTTGAGACTGTTCATTGTCACTGCATGTGCTGTTGTTGCTGTTGCTGCTGTTAGCATGCTCGCCTTACGTCCCAAGAGTAGAGACCTCATTTGCAAGGATCTCTATTTCCCGCGGAAAAACCCAACACCCTAATACCACAAATACCACATGACTGCAGCGAAGGCACCGCGAGAAGAGTCGCCGAGTTGATTCACACTTTGAGCTACCAGGCCCAGAGGGGGCGGTTAAGGGTTTAGGGTTTAGGGCTTGGGATTGAGGTTGGGGTAGGGGGTTGCAGGTTCACGGAGGCCAAACAAGCATTTGAGGTCTTTAGGATGATTTGGGCTTTTCGGGCTCAGGGGGGTCGCTTTGGACAGAGTTTGCGTCCTAAAGGATAGAAAACACAAGAACATACAGCCAACGTGTCTTCACTACAGCCCTGGCACTTTGGCCGGCGTCGCCATTCAGCGAACGGAAGCCAAAGCTGTGAAGAGCGAGTCAGCATCTGAAAAGCCGAAGACAGTTCCAGGAGCGCTTCGGTGCTTTAAGGCAGCTTAGATATGCACTTCATTGTTTCAGTCATCAACGCACGAAACACACATCAGTGATCGGACCTGATGTGTCGGGTAAGAACATCAGACCCTGATGCCCCAGCATGATCCCTGAGATCCCTGAACCCTAAACCGGGCGCGGACGCTCGTCAACGAGGGAGTGCACGGCTAGATCCCAGCGAGAGACTGAGGAATGGGAGCGGATGTAGCAGATGAACTGTTGGGACGCCTCAGAAGCCTGAGGAAATACAGGGTGTCACGGCACCAGTGCAGGCGTTCGGCTTTTTGGTGGCTTGTTTTGGGACAAAGCGATAAGCGTGAAGTTCAGGGACCGATCAGCTTAGGGTTTCTGGCTGCCGTGTCTGGTCTTTCGAGCCCGCATGCAGGGCTTAACGCGCCTGTCCAGAGTGGAATCCCCGGGTAGTAACAACAGTATGCAAGTAATCGCCATTGTGATTGTAGGAAAAACGATGAACGTGACAAGGATATAAATGGGATACTGATAACCATCATCATGATAATAGTAATAGTCATTTCCCCAAGCCCTGAAGCACCTGCAGCTTCCTTGTTTCCCACGGCTCACCCTGTGCTAATGCATCTGCAAGTGCAGCTCGCCACCAGCTCAAGGCGTCGGTGACCATGAGAGCCTCCAGCCAAGGCTCATGGGATGTTGGAATCGGAGCTTCAGACGTGGCTTCTGTATTCAGAGGGTCCCATGCTTGCCTCGAATTTTTGGCGGAAGCTCCTATGGGAAACCAGCCCCCCAAGCCCACGTTCGTGCCGGTGGATTTGCGAGGTCCTCACAGCTCCAGGGGCGTACGACCGAGGGGCTCAGATTGAATCAGAAGCTACACGCAGAAGCTTCCCTGGGCATAGCTTGATCATTCACAGCTACTAAGCTCCCAGACACCCTCAAACCCCAAATCTTCAGCCCTGTCAAGGAGCATGATGCTGCGCCATCAGCGCCGAGACCGTGAGCCCTGCAAACGGCTCGGGGTTCGGGGTTCAATTCCTGCTAGGGTTCTGCTTCGTTACGGAGGCGGACAGGAGTTGTGATGTCCCCAACACTGGATGGAACTCGTACTACCACTCCAAGCACGTGCAACACGGGTGTCGCTGTTGGTCATTACAGATAGACCGGTCATCACATTCATGGAGCTGATAGGGCCGCCCAGGCTTCCGCAGAAAGCTTATGCTTTCACCGAAGCAGAACTGCCGCAGAAATCGCTTCTACAAGTGCATGACAGCGCGTTACAAACCAGGATCGCAACCCAATCCAGGACCCCTTAACAACCACAGAATGACTGAACTACCCGACCGGAAACCGGACTCCGCGACCATCACCATCACAATCATGTCGGGATAATGATACTGTTATGTACTAGGTCTCAACACCATCAGCAGCAGCGGCTTCTACTAGTTACGACCACGACGAAAATAAAGCCAAAGTCAAGATGGACGCCAAGAGACCTCGCTCGCGGGTCAAGGTCCCAAGCGTCTCCACGAGCGAGGGAAGTGAGACAAAGGGCAGGAGGTGGGGTAGCGTGGCCCACTCCTGGGATGATCTATGGGGGGTTGAGGGTTTAGGTTTAGTTCTCGGGATTTCTAGGGATGCCTTGGCTGTTTCTGCGACGGCGTTTCAAGGGTGCCGCAGATCGCTGTAGGGCTCTACAAGCAAAGATCACGCTGCGACGACGTTTCAAGACTGCTCCAGATCGCTGTAGGGCTCTAGAAGCCAAGATCACGCTTGTTTTTTACTGACTCGAGGGTCAGTGGGTTTGAGATATCCTCAGAAGGCCGACTTAGCTCCAGCCGCACATCACGTAAATGAACCGTCGTCTCCGAACCATGGCTACAGTTGACTGGGCATGCCGACGAAGGGACTGTATAACGATACCAGTAGCGACGGTCGTCGATGAAGCGGTGAATGGCCCATGACTGCCTCGGACGGTCTTGCTTGTCCCAAGCCCCAGGTCCAGGTGATGTTGGGGTGGATCCACAGAAACAGGATATTCCCACAGAAACCCCCCAAAGCCCGCAGAAGAGCCCAATGGCTGCCCGGCTGCAGATAATGCGTGGGATGATAAGCAAACGGCTCTTCAGCACCTCCACGACGAAACTCCTCAGTTCGCGGCCGAGATTCGAAACTCTGTTTGTCAGGGCTACGGATGCTCGAGCAACCGTCCCCGTTCCCAACATGAAGGGCAGTGCGACATACCATGCAGTCTCGGGCCAACGCTGAAGAACAGCTAGCACCCGCACATCAACCCAGCGGCTGGCGGCGCAACGGAAAGGCAGTGTCTCTCAGCATCATAGCCTGCCACGTGTGCAGCTGGCGGGAGCCCACACAGAATTTATGCATCCTGTCCGGTAGTCCCGGAAGGAAACACAAACAACACCAAGGCGAGCTGCAGACCTCCTAGAGTACAGTCGATCTTGCAGATGTCCTACTGCGGCTGGTGCAGTTTCAATGTCTCTGTCTCTGCTCCAATAACAGTAGGTACGCTACAACCAAACAGTGACAATGATAGTAGAAATAATGGTAAGAGTAAGAGTAACAATCATGGCAAAAGTCTTAGGTTAGTGTTTTGGGCCAGGATCGCACTGCGAGGCCGAAGCCGCTGCTCCGTTGCCTCCGAAGGTGCGGCTGCTCCAGATGAACTTGTGGCTCATCGGCTCCTGATTAGGGATTTAGGGATTTTGGGTGAAGGGGTTCCTGCCAAAGCACACTCCGGGGGGAGGAAAGAGAATTTGATAAAAGCCTGAAAGTGGCGTAAAAGGATTCGCTCCCTGTTTCCAAGTCTGCCGGTTGCGGACAAAACAATTCAGTTCAGTGTACCTGAAATCTTGATTTCCTGCAACCTTCAGGAAAACACACAAACCCCGAAACCCCTGAAACCCCCCAAAAACCCTCAAAGCCTAGACCCCACCTCGGGCACCAGCGACGGGATGCCCGCCGCATAGACGTCCGTGAGGCGCAGGGCACTGGGGCCATGGGGCAGAAAGATGACCGCGTGGAAGGCCGCAATCCTTTGCTCCCGCAGCTTCGGACCCCTGGATTTAGGGTTTTTGTATTTTTTGAGGGCCTTTTCCAGCTGCAGCACAGTCGGAGAGCTCCAATGGAGCAGGATTTAGGGTTTAGGGTTTAGGGGATTTAGGGTTGAGGGCTGGGACACCGTTGGAGGCTCTCTGTTCAGATACTTCAGGGTGCTAAGGCTTCGCAGCAAGAGGGCTCGGCATTGGGGGAGTTCCCACCAACCCTCACCTACACCCGAAATCGAATTTCACCCCTACGGGACTGGCCCAAGCGGCTCTTGAAAGGTGTAAACGCGCGGGCCGCTGTTCATGTCCACCACCTGGGCGCTGGAGAATGCAGAACCTGTGAGGACTTTAACAGGAGATTCTTTAAGACTTTATACATTTAAAGCGGATGATTTTGGGGCTTGAGGTGTTGAGCTTCGAGTTCGCCGGCTCGGAGCTTTAGGACTCTGGCTTTTGGCTTGGGCGTGCGGACCTTGGCATGAGAACTATGAAAACTGAATAAGACTTTATAGGCTTAGGATTTCGGGCCTCGGACCAGGACACACTTTGGCCTAAACCCTGAACCCTACACTTAGTTGCTGAGTTCAAAAGCCCCAAGGAGTGTACACTTTCAGTGTTATAGTGGGTCATACTATCCCAGAAAATGTAAAGTGTAGCCACTCAGCTACTAAGTACACCCCTATCGTCTTTGACGGCACACCCTCTGCGATCTTTCAGCTTGCGGGTCGTAGCAGCCTGGATGTCGTGTGAAACCGTGAACATACCCCTGAGCTACGCGATGCTACGCGGCCTCCACAGGGCTGTCGGTTGCGACTTCCTGGAGGAACATCCGCAGTGCCTTCCGGAAAGTCAGCCTGGTAGAAGAGCCCAGCCGATAAGGGTTTCTAAGGTTGCTTTAGGCTATAAGAGGTACTGCAAGGCTTGCTATAAGGGCCTCTCTACCGCGAAAACACACTCGAAACACATTGGTGCAGACTGGCCACCTCGACAACGGTTCGACATAAGGGTGACGCAAAGGGGTAGCATAAGGGCTTCTACAAGGATTACCTTAAGGTTTACGAAAATCGTTGCGTATGCATGGGTTTAGGCTTCGGCGACTTTACGGCATAATGTGCACAAGGCTTCGGCAGTTTTGAACCTCTTTTTGGGGGGGTCCTCAGAATCAGGATCCCAACGTTAGGGGTCCCTGATTACCCGAAGCTCGGAGATCCTAACAAAGGCCTACCTAGATCCCCAAAGCCTCGACGCTACACCCCTGAACCCTCCGCAGCCTAAACTCTAAACCGGACAGCCGAACCCCCGACCCCGAAATCCTAGCCCTCCACCCTGTAGGCTCTGAAGCCTGAGCCTTAAAGCCCCAGACCCGGGTTTAGGGAACGCCCCCAACTCGTCAGGCGGCATATTCTGCCGGTTGTTCCGGAAAAGCAGGGCTCGCCGGGCTTCGGCGGGATGGTACCTGGCCGCCGCTTAGCTCTCCAGGGATGAGTTTGTAGCAGCCTGGAGCATTTCGGGTCCAGGGCCCAAGGTCTACCAACTGCGCGTGATGTGCAGCTGCTGCTTCGTGCGCTATTGCATTACCAGCACCAGCATTAGACGACAAAGAAAGAGACTGCGACCAGAAGCACCCCTACCATGATCGAAGGAAACCCGGTAGGCACGCTAAAAGAAGCCACGGCTAAGGCAATTGACACCTCAACATATGCTTAAGTCGGAGACAAGCAATAGTGGTGATGATGATTTTTCAACCGACCCAGGGTGATGGCACCTCACTCGAATGCCGAGCCCAACAAACGGCACATAGGGCAAGCGCCATCCGGTTTGGTAGGCCACCTGTAAGGCCGTGAGAGGCAGGGCAGCAGGTTTCAATTCTGGGGATGAGGGTTCGCATCAGTTGCGCATTCAAACTTTGATTTCGAGCCATCCCTGGTCTGCATTTGGCAGTCGTTGCGCATCTTTGTATTAAGTAGCATCGCAAAGACCGCCGAAAAGCCTCTGAGCGTATCGGGTTTTAGGAGTCGGGACTGCGAGTTTGTCAGTTTTCGATGTTCGCCTTTCTCATCACCGGACCCTGAAAAAACCCCAGAGCCCTGCCTGCTCAGCCGTGATGCGGCAGCTGATGGAGAGGTAAATCCTCTGGGCCTCCACCATATCCTTTGAAACGGCCCAAGCTCAGTCCGGACAAGGCAGCGAAACTCCACCTCTGGACCCTTTCACCGAGTCCTCCCACGTCGATGTTGCCGTGCATGTTTCATACACAATTTCATACGCTAGTTGAACCCTCCACCCTTTCTGCGCAGCAGATTCGCGGGTGGCGAAGGGGAAACCAAGTACGCTTGGAAACACACAGCCTCAGGCAGCATTGCACCCAATCTACAGAGAAAATCTGGCTTACCAAGTGCAGTTCGGATTCAGAGTTTTGTGCAGAGAGCTTAGGAAAGCAATACAACCTTAATGCTTGTGTGGTTAAAACCGCTTTATACTTGAAGGGTTTTTCTGTGGTTCCACAATTAATGTTCATGGGTTGGGTTCTAAGGCTTAGGGCTTAGGGTTGGGCTCCTTGAAGGCCCTCCACAAGACGCGCAAGTTCACATCGTCCGCTGCAGGGAACCTGGGCCCCAGTTTTGGGGGGTCGGGTTTAGGGTTTAGGGTTAGGGGTTGCTCAGGGTTGGTAATAATGACGATGATCAGAGGAGCGTGAGGGTGAGGATGGGCATGTCGATGACATTCTTGCTTCTCATTCTTTTTGCATGGTGTTCTCGAGCCGCTAATGCTGTGCAGCAACCATGGCATAACACGATTTATCTTTGCACGCAACTTGCCGGAGCCATCGCCACTTCCATCTGAAGATATCAGGGAGCAAAACGCAGTGCTCTGCACCTTCCATCTTTGCCAGTCACTCCAGAGCCAGCTTCAATGTTTTGAAGCAGTTCTCCATCCGCTTGCCGTTCCAGTTGGCGCCCTGCTGTTCGAGCCACGCGAGCCTCTCCGGGTTTGTGCGTGTCAAAAACTGCTAGCTTGTTCTTGACAAGGTCTTGGAAACTGACAGCACAAGGCGTGGCTGCGGTGCCCTTCGCGGAGAAAGGGAAGGTGCGCTTGTGCCCTTCGACATTTGCACGCACGTGCACCCCGGCGGGGAGTGCAGTGTCGGTCGGCTCCTTGAGGACGGGCGTGGGATTGGCTTTAGGCTTGGGTGGCTGGGTTAGCATCGTGGGGGCCGCTGGCTGTGCTCGGGTTTGCGAGGCCCGCGCCCTCGCCTGGCTATTGCTGGGCTGCACCCTCAGCCACCTCGTCGAGAACCTGCTTGAGACTTGGCACGCTGAAAGCCATAGTGCAGAGTACGCAGGTATGCAAGTCTCAGTCTGAGTTTGCTCGGGAGCTGGGAGCCTAAACTCAGCACGTACATATACATTTGACGCACAAGGGCACAATTTGCAAACGATGCGCACGCAGCCGTGCTCACGCTGGGAATTTGTGGGGCGACAGCCACATCGCCACTTTGCTGATTTTCGTCCTGTCAGGCTCTTGGCGTTCAATGCCACCGCCGGCAGGAGCCACTGGTGCAAAACCCTCCTGCTTGCACAGCCCCTTGCACCAGCACATGCAGCATGTGAACTGCCAGGGCACAAAGGTCATCGGCGGCCTCAAAAGGCCGCAGCACTTGCCACATCGATCCAGGCCATGCGGACACAAGGCCGAGTTCGAAGTATACTTATGTTCAACAAGATGAGTTCACGTAGAAGTTTCATAACATGAGTTATAACAGAGCGGGCCTCCTGCGTCTGTACTACAGGAAGAGGAAAACGGAGGGCAACCCCAAAGCGCGCGCGGACAGCAGCAGGGTCCCCCAGACTGCATTTGTACTAAAGGAAGAGGACGAGCACTATAATGATACTATATTAATATTATGAGAGTGCTATAATAGTACTTGTGATAATAGGGTTTAGCCCAAGGTTTCGAAGTAGGCCTTTCAGTATTCTAGCAGCCTCAGCCAAACAACCTGAACCCATCAACCCGGGCTTAGGATGTAAGGCTATGTAAGGTGTAAGATGGTGTAAGGTATATCCCCAAGCCCTATAAGCCCTCCAAAAGAGACCCCACAACCCTAAATCCCTAAACCTTGAACCCCAAACCTTCAAGACGAAGACCAGGATCCAGGTCGGCAGTTCGTCTCCAAGAACAGGTTTCGGAGAGGGTAGGGTTTAGGATTTAGGGTCCGGGCTGCGCCAGCAAAGCCACTTCGCCAAGCAGCTCGTTCAGGAGAGCCATGTGAAGGACGCCAACCATGGTCCTTCCGTGCCTCCGTAAAATCGAGAGTTATCATCGGCGCAGCAAAGACAACCCTAACCCGTGAAGGTTCAACCACCTCTGAACTCCTTGAGCGTGCCTTTGTATTTGCATTTTCATGGTAAAATGTGCCGCCTGAAATCCGGCCACTCCCTCGGATTTCACACGATGAATGGGTCGGGCATCGCATTATTGCGGGCCATCTACAGTCTTTCGAAGGGAGTTACTCAAAACGGCCATCGGCTTGGCTATGGTCCGGGGCTCTGGGACCATGAAGACTACCGTGGCAACTGCCAGTCGGGAATATGTGGGTACCAGTGTGCATGCGCGAGCAACCTGCAGCATACACCCTGGCAAACAGAAACCTTCAAATCCACCCTCCAAGCTGTACCGTGTACAATCCACTCTGAAACCCTTTACTAAAACCATATAAGCCCTGCAAAAAGTCCAAGAAACCCTACAGACCTCATCACCTTCAACCATTGGACTTTCATATGGGTGGTTGTCAAAATTATGGTCCCTTCTTGGGTACCCTAAATATTAGGTGCCGTATCATAATAAGGACCCAAACAGGGACCCTTATATTGACAACCATCCATATGGGAGTTTCCAAAAATAGGGGGACCCTAAAAGAGGACCCTAACTAGTAGGATCCTCATTATAAGGACTCTAAAATAAGGTACCCCTGATTTTCGGAAACTCCCATATATCTCTGGGCCTCGGCCGGACGAAGGGGCCTGAGCTGCGAGAGCATCGTGGGAGGCTTGGGGTTCCGGACTTTCGGCTTCTTTCAGGCTTTAGGATTTAGGCTTTGGGGTTTAGGGTTTAGGGGTTTACGGTTTAAGGTTTAGGCATTTAGGGTTTAGGGGATGCAGGGTTTAGGGTTTCGCTTTGAGTTTTAAGGCTCAGGGTCTGAAAGGGTTTTGTAAGAGTTTTCTATTGGCAATCCCTCAAACACCACGTTCTTTTGGGATTCAGGGTCGTCGGCAGGGCGTCTTCATCATGGAACTTCTACCCCATCCTACTGTTAGACTGTTAACCCTGACCCTGAATCCTGAAACAAACAATCTCTGCGCCCTAAACCCTTCATGCTAGCCCGAAAGCCTGACAACAATCAAAAACCTAAACGCCGTAAAGTAGCCATTACAATAAGCTGTTAAAGTGCCCTAGGCCCTAAACTTAAACTCTGAAGCACCAAAACACTAAACCCGTAAACCCTTATCGAACCCGTACTGCAGGCACACTTTTGAACCCTTGAAAGGAACTCTTTCAACAAAACCCTCGAAAAATCACCAGCTCAAACTCTACTTACTTAGTGCAGAGCAGAGCCCCAAAGCCTGAACCCCCCAAGCCTCAACCCCAAAACCCCCAACGCCAAAGCCGTATTACAATAAGGACCCGAAAAGGGACCCTATTGCTGACAACCACCCAAACCCCAACCCCAAAACCCCTAACCCCTAAACCTTAAACCCTAAATCCTAAATCCTAAACCAATAACCCCAACCCCAAAAGAGAGACCCAGTGGCACAGCCACAGCGGCTCGCTGCAAAGCACCAGGTCGGCGTCGAAGAGCCCCGGGGCCACGGCCGGGAGCCAGGCCTGGAACTGGGATTTGTATAAGTAGCTATTAAGGCCCCTGATAGTATATAAACCCTTATAGTAACCCTTAGAGTAACCCTCTTATAAGAGCCCTTTCAAGGAACCCTTAGGTAGTTATTAAGGCCCCTTATAGTAAACCCTTATAGTAACCCTCTTATAAGAGCCCTTTAAAGGAACCCTTAGGTAGTTATTTAGGCAGGGGTCTTCGAAGATGCGGTACCTGCGGAGTTCTGTATCCTCTACCCCACGATTGAGGCTCTTATAGTCGACGTGAATCCCTAAATCACTATAAATAAGTAACAGAAATCCGTAAAAGAACCCTTAAGAGGAACCTGTACTCTCATTTCAAAACCGTATGTTAATGCATATTAACCGTTTGCCCCGGCCGAGCCTCGCCGACCTCCTCCACGTTCGTGGCTCCCTCTTTGAGCTCGGCGATCATCTTCTTCAGGGTGGCGAAATCCTGAGCAGGCTGAGGGTTCTTAGGTTTTTCTTCTTTTTTTGAACCCTCTTTTCCTCTTGCCCATGAAGTTAGAGGGTTCTTAAGGTTTGGGGCTCAAGGCTTAAGGGTTTGCCAGGGGTTTTGGGGTTTAGGGGTCTAGGGCTTTCATGGTCTAGGGTTTACTGTTGCTGTTTTGTGGAGGGGAGCTCAGGATCTTGCGGGTTTGGGGGTCGCGTTTTCGGCTCATAGCCTTTAGGGGTTTCGGGCTTGCAAGCTTCGTCTGAGTTGTAGGCTTTGGGGCTGTCAGGGGAGGCCCGATGCCCCAAACCCAGCTCCGACTCTGGGGTTTCGGGTTTTCACTACGTCTGCAAACAGCTCTAGCCCGAAAGTTCTTAGAGTCTGGCGCAGAAAGATGCTTTGGGCTTCGGGACTGCCTTTTTCCGGCTACCGGCGTTTGGCGTCCGTGCGGCTGTGTCGCGATGGCCACTGCACTGAGGTGGATTGTGGGAATAGGGCTTTGCAAAGAGACCATTGCAGCTCAAGATCTGACGCGCACTAGACCTTGATGATTCCGGTGCTTGAACTACGAGCTCTCGCAGTTCTCCTCCTTTACCTCTGGATGTATACAAGGCGTATCAAGGCACTGTAAGGAAAAGATATGTTCTTGCGGATTCCGGCTGTGCCTTTATGTTGGTGGATACGCACAATTGTGCCAGTGATGCTGCTGCTGGGGATGAAAACAGCCGATGCCGACCACAAGCGGAACCACCCCCACCAGCTTGGCCCAGCAATGCCGAGTCGCCACGCGCACACGTTCCGCGAGCCAGTTGCCAGCGTCTGTGCCCTGGATAGCCTTCACCTTCGCACTTTCTGGTTTGGAGTCGCGCAGTTTGAAGGTGTTGGGCTCGGCGTTGGCGATGTAGGGCTGCAGTAGGATCTTGCATTCAACGGTCTTCGGTGTCTCGAATGCAACCCTTTCGAGCTGCAGAACCAAAAAGCAAGGCTTCGTCAGAGCTGCTAAATATCAGGACCCTAATAAATAGAAAAGAGTTTTGCGTTGAACTCATAATAGTCATGTTACGGTATGAATCCTAACGAACTCAGTAATCCAAACATTCTTGTCGCCGAAACCACAACTCTATCTCTACGGCCGTATCGGCTCCTGCTTTGTGATTGAAGGAAGTAGAGCAATGGAGGAGGCGAATCCGAAAGAAGGGGCTTGAGGATTCTGGCGTCATGGAGCCTTCGAGTTCAGGATTTTGAGGTGGGGTTAGGGTTTAGGGCTTAGCAGGATCTTGGCTGAGCCCGCTGCCCGAGTGAAGTACAACTCCAGGTCCAGCGCTTCCTGCACCAAAAAAAAACCCAAGCCCAACATTCTAGGACTCCGGGTGTCGGGTCGGGTTCCTGAAACCCTGCCTACACCCAAATGCCTAATACTAAGCCCTGCAAGCCCTCATTCTGGCTCCGAGTGTAGAGCACTTGGGAGAAGAAAAGCTGGTGCCCTCGACTTCTGCCTCCTAGCGCTTCGGTCTCAGACATGAGCCCACTAGGGTTTAGGGGTTTAGTGGCTCAGGCTTTGGGGCTTTGGGTTTGGCAGCTGGGTTTAGGGTTTAGGGCTTTGGGTTCAGCGGTACCAGAGTACCCACCGGTAGTGCAAGCTCATACCACTGGCACCCACCTGATCCGCCCGGGCCGAGGCATCAAAGAAGCTACGCAATGTCCAACTCTAAGCAACACGGAGATCTCAAGTCGCGATACTAGTGGTGGTAGTGATTTACAGTAAACCCCATGAAGTTGGAAACCGGATTAAGGCCAAATACTTCTGGGATTCCCTATAGATGATTCTTACAGATTGAGGCTATTGGGTTTCCAACTTTTGGGCTTCTACACTGTGACTGTAACCCTAAACTCTATAGACTCTATAGATCCCTTAAAGGAATCCCTGAAAGGATCCCCCAAGGATCCCTTTTAAAGGAACCCCTAGACCCAAATGGGAGTTTCCGAAAATGGGGTCCCTTGAACCACCAAAATCCTCGATGCCGCCTCGGCGGTCCAGCTCGTACTTTGGAGCCCCGCGATTGTTTTCAGCGCCGCCTCCGAGAGAGGCTTCGGGCTTTAGGGTTTAGGGTTTAGGGTTTAGGCTTTAGGGTTTTTTTTTTTTGAACGCCTTTTTCGACCTCGCATCTAAGGTTGGGCGAATCCACTTGTGTGGAAGGCTACCTTCGGACTAGGCTTCACGCGTAGTCACCCTTGAGCTCCATCGGAACCATTCGTCAACCGACCCTCACTGACTGCTGGCGCCAGGCTTGTCTCCACCGCTTCATGTGTCCTCTCTTCACCATCTTCTTCGTCTAGATGCGTATCCATCACAGGCACTGGCACACCCATTTCTGTTTGCGGCATCGTCCCTGAACCCACTGCAACTTCGTCATTCGATTCATCCGGAATGTCTGCCATCGACCGCACGTCCCACGCCACCATGCCATCCAAGGAGGCCATCACCAAGTCCGTCAAACCCTGCACCTGAAGAGCTTGGAACAGCACCAACCAAACCGCTCCATGTGTCTCCAAGATGTTCACGTCCGTAAGCAGCCCGCGGACCCATCTGCGAAACACTCGTCCAACCACTGAGAAGGGGACTCTGATGGGCAACCGTATGCTCAGACCCTCCTGGTTCACTGGAACGGTGTCGCCCGCCTCGCCATGGGTCATATCCAGGACCTCCGACAAAAGCCCGTGGATACAGTCGAGACCCCACTGTTTCCAGGCCCTGAACAGCTCCATCCAGACGGTCCCGAAGGTGTCCAGCACTTGCAGGTCACTTCGCCATCCGTCACGCCATTGAGCATAAACGTTTTCAAACAGCCCAAAATCTGGACGAGGTTGCCCCACTGCTACCAACGGACTCTTGCCCTGCACCAAGTCCCTCGCCGTGATGGGCCCTGTCGGAACACCTTCAGGAGATTCGGCCCGCACTCGCTCAGCATCCTCCAGTTCCCCAACGGCCATCTGCGCCTCCAGGAGCTCCATCACGGCCCCACCATATCGGGCACGGATTTGTCCACCATTGAGTGTCCCAGCCCTCCACTGTTTGTAGATCTTCTCGAACTCCGCGAAGTCCACCGAAGGCAAGAGGTCCGGAGCCGTATCCAGATGAATGTCCAGACGCCCTTGGTCACACTCCATGGCGCGTCCTGACACGCTCCGAGGCACCTGGATTGTAGACGTGCTCTCCGGGGTTCCTCTCATCTGAGCGCGAAGTGTCATCGTCAACGTGCCGTTTTCTGGTACCTCCATTTCCGCAGTCTGGAGTATCGTCGGTCGGTCCTGGCTTCCCGATGCCACCTCCAGAGTGAGCACGCACCTCCGCCTTTTGGGCGGCACCCGGCCAGCCAACTCCGCCTGCATTTGTTGATCCTCCCACTGTTGGAAGGCCGCTGCCTGGCTTTGTAAGTGCTCAGCCTCACACTCGGCCATAGCCTGGTACTTCGCCAGCCGCTCGCTTTCTTCATCTTCCTCTTGACGTCGAGCCTCCTGCCACTGGCGTTCTTCCTCTTCATCGTGCAGTAGCTGGTTGAAGTCATGCTCCTCCTCCTCCTTAGTGACGTGACCAGGGGCTGGTGCCCCTTCCTGGGAGTCCACATGCACCGGTTCCATGGGAATGTCGAAGCCTGGGATGCCCTCAGACAGCTCCGCCACCCATGAAGATAGCCACGTCGTATCAGACGAAGAGCTGCCCTCCAGAACACCCTCACAGTCCAACGTCATAGACAACAGCAAGGCATGTAGTTGCGCCCAGTTGTCCCCATTCACCGCTTCAATCGAGCCCGTGCCCATGCGAAGAAGCCGTAGGTGTCGAAGACGCAGTGGTTTGGGCTGCTTCACCAGCTCCTTTTGAAGTCTGAGTAGCGCCCTCGACCATCGCATGTTGCTGGTGTCCACCCCCGCCGACCCTGTAAACCCAGCAAAGGTGCGTCTGCATAAGAGCGCTCCCATCTCCGCCAGCTTCCTCCTTTTCAAGGTCAGAGGACTCCATCGTGCCTTCCTGGGAACGAGCTATAGCCTCTGCCACCGAAAGCACCTGTGACAGTTCTGCCATCAGGTATCTCAGAACTGTGACCAGGGCTATCGTACTCTGCAGCCGGTTGGCCTGGTGCATGCCTTCGTGCACGCTGCTGACATTCTGCAGCGTGTCCCGTGGAAGAAAGCTATCGGGGACCCGTCCGGTGCCAGGGGGCGATGGTGCGAAAGCGAACCTGTCGAATAGCAACCATTTCCACAGCGTCACTGCTTCCGTAGAGGTCATTGGCTGGGTGACATTCACCGGACTCACACACCGCGGCCTCGTAGACGGTCTTGGGTCTCTACTGCCACTGGCCGGTTCCGATTGCGGGGCTTCGTCCAGACGGATCTCCACATACTCCCCAGCCGTGCCCTCTCGTCGCTTGCCCGCTGATCTCCCTGAAGAGGCTCTTGTGTGTGGTCGCCCGGCTCGATCTCCTGCATCGCGGCCTCCCCGTCCTCCATCGTCTCTACCCGTGGGGCGTGTTCGACGTGGTGTCCGAGAGTCCCGGATTCGTCGTCTCCCGTTGCGGTAACGGCTGTTCGCGTCGTCCATGAGACTGGTCGCATCCGTCTCTCTGTCCCTGTCCATCGTGTCGTCCGCGTCCGACCCTTGCTGGTGCTCGTAAGTCGACCACAGTCTTGATTCCATATCCGTTGCCCAGCGATAGAAGTCCAACGGGGACGTGGAGGAGTCGTAGCCCGTACTGGCCGGAATTCCCCTTGCCAGTGATCCCAGAGGCGTTTCCGTCCACCGGAGAAAATCTCGATTTTCCCTCGCCCGGACCATCTGTCTGACCATCCGGAACAGCATGCCCACTGCCCTGCCTTCCTCGAACCACTGATAAAACTGCTCGACAAGGTCATCCATGTTGTTTTCGGGCGGGCCCGTCTGGAAAAGAGCTGAGGCGTCCGTCTCCTCTTCACGTCCTTCAGCTTCCGGACCATGTCGACCTTCCCGATGTGGAGTTCGCGACGACCGCGTCGCTCCGCCATTTCTGCTTGTCGTCTCCCCTCAGAGAGCGTGGTGTCCCATCCGTAGGCCCTTGAGGTTTGCTGCCAGGCTCGGTTCTCCATAGCCACCGGACACGTTTGCCACAACCAGTGTTCACGAAGCTCGTGGACCGCACGGAGGACCCAGCCTTGAACATCTCTCCACGGCATCCTTCCTAGCCGTCGCAGGAAGTCGTCTGCAGCCGGCTCATGCCTTAGCAAAGCGCGTCGGACTCCATTCACGTAGATCTCCGTCTCCTCGATGAACCTCTCGTCTCCAGTTTCTGCAACCAAGTCCGAAAGGAGCTGTCCGACCCTCACAGCGTCTGCACCCCTGTCCACCGCAAAGCTGCACGACTCGATCATCTCCACATACCATGAGGGAGGGATTTCACCCTCAAAGGGTTCGTCGAAAGCCCTGGACCCTCCCATCACGAGCAGCCACATCGTACCCTGCAGGAAAGAGGACGAGTCGCCTTGATCACCAGCTTCTTGTCTTCCGCGTCCACCATCAGGCACTCGTGGAGGAACCCGCAGTTCCATGGTGCCCTCTTCCGTGTTGACCCTTACTGCATGAAAGAGGCCGTAAGGATGGCCGGCCTGAGGCATCGGCACCTGCTCCGGAATGCTGGCATCCTGAGGTAGGTGAGCGATGACCCCCTGCACCTCCGAGTGAGCCATGTTCCCTGACGCCTGGAAATCCTGCCACGTCACATGCTCGAGCCTCGCTGCCCCTTCCACCTCCTCAGGAGTCAGTGCCCTCGTGTACAAAGCATGGCACAGCCTATCTGCAAACTCCCGGCGGAGCGGTTGCAGATACGTTCGAGACCACCATTCATAGCCAGGATCTCCCCGATGAGCAACACGGCGAAGGAGGGCTAACCACATCGGTTCCCATCCCATTCCTCGCAGCCGTAACTGCTGAAGTTGTGCCACCGCGGTTGTCATCCACCCACACGACTCCGCCGCGTGCTGAGCGTTCACCCTCAGGCGGCGACGTCTCTCCTTCTCATCCTCCCTGATCGACGCATGCGCCTCCCGGTGAATCGGGTAATCCGCGGGCCTCGCGTGGTACATCTCCCGCCGAGCTTGTGCTTCTTCTCCCGGGTCGTGCCGTAGAGGTTGTATGCCAGCATCATGGAGGGTCGCCTCTGGAAAACTTCCCGTGCTCACTGAACCCTGCCCCGTCGAAAGTTCCGTCTGATCACCCGGCTGCATCACCTGAGGCAAGTTGCCCTGGGCAGTCACCGCCGGCGTGTCCGAAAGTTGGTCGTTCAAACTGACTGAATCGGCATTGACCTGAACTGCTGTCAAGGCCTCACCGGTTGGCCTGCCGCCGTCCTTAGGAGCAGCGATTGCCACCATCGCCATCAAGGCGCGCAAAACGAAAGTTGTCATATGGAGTGCCATGGTGCCCCAAAGGGCACGGAACGTAGGTTCCTCGCTGTGGCGCTTGATCCGACAAATCAGGAGTTCAACCTTCACCGTGCCGTTCAAAGCCATGCGTTGCTGCCCACGTTTGTCTGTACACAACATGTCTGTACCCTCACTCTCTCACAGACCCTCCCACCCATACACGGACCGAACCGGGAAGAAGAGGGGACAGACTGAGACACTCGAAATCTTGGTGCACACGAATTCCCTACCCCTCTCACTCGTTCACCTACTGCGAATCCCCGATAGACAGCTGCCGCCCCGAGCTCCATGGTACATCCATACGGGTCACCCATGCATCCTCCCTAGCTTTCCATGCAGCCCTGTCATGTGCGAGTTGCCGCCAGGGCGAGCCCGCCACTGCATCGAGGTTCTGTTCCAGGGCCGTAAGTCTGGCGTAGTGCCGTCCCTTGTGCTTCAACCCTTTGCTCTTGAGAGACTGTTGGTACTGCCACCAGGGCAGCGTACGGAAATGTTCAAAGTCCGTGCTTATCGGCGGTTGAGCAGATAGCACTGTCCGGACCCTGTGTCCCGCATAACCCCAATATCTCCTCAACCAAAGCGTAGACCACCTCTCCAAACCCGAAGCGTAAAGTGCTGCCCTGGCCCCGCGGAAGGCACGCTTGCGGAAGTCCTCCCACGTTTCCTCCCCACGTTTGGCAAAACGAAGCAACCAAACCATGAGCTGAAGCTGTGCACTGTTGAGGGCTGTCATCGCCGCCTTATCCGGCGGGACCACACAAATAAACCAGAGAGCTGTGGCTCCAATGACTCTCTGCATCACCCTCGCCCGCTGCTTCATGTAACCCTTCGCGCGAAACAAGTGTTTGAGCTCCCAGAACTTAGCCCTCGCCCTGGTCACCGCCGGCGCAACAAGTTCATAGACCGAGATACCGACCCTGAGCGTGATACCCATGACCTGGAGGCTGGGGGAGGCTTGCACTTTGACCCCATCGAGAATGATGTAGTGCCGACCCTCTGTGTTCGGACTGACATAGAGCTGACATTTGAGCGGGTTGAGACGAAGCCCATATTTGATGAACTCCACCGAGAGTTGTTGTGCCCTAGTTTCCACGACTGTAATTGCCGAGTTCCACAACAGTCCGTCGTCCATATACATCATTTCTTCAGGCGCCAAATCGGGGTAGAGGGGAACCATGTGTCGCCACCGATACTTGTCCACCGCCTCTGCTAAGACGAGCTCCGCGATGTGCGCGAAGAAAACAGGGCTCTCTATCCCTCCCTGCTTTATCCCTTTCGACATCTGAACCCTCGACGATCCCCACGGAGTTTGAAGCCATGCCGAGGTACCCCTCAAAAGCCCTCTCCAACAGTTCATCTCCGCCCCCTGCCCAATCTTCTGCTCCAATCGATCAAGGAGCTTGCTGCGATCCAAACTGTCAAAGGCTTTTTCAAGGTCGAGCTTGAAAACCACCAACGAGTTCCCCCATTCACGAGCAAGGTCAAATAGTCTGACAATGGTAAAGAGGAAATCGGAGGTTTGTCTACCCTTACCCGAGCATTGAGCGTAGGTGTGGGGCATAAGAGCCGGTAGCGCTCGGTTCAGGAGAAGACGGCTGAAAAGCTTGGACACCGCTGAACCCATTGCGATGGGACGGAGCTCTTTCGCGGCCTTCGGAGCCTGGATCTTAGGCTTTAGGGTTTAGGGTTTAGGGTTTAGGCTTTAGGGTTTAGGCTTTAGGGTTTAGGGTTTAGGCTTTAGGGTTTGTTGTTGTTGGTGCTCGTTGCGTCACTGTTGCTGCCCCTGGCTAATGTGATCTTCTGTTACAACTCCCTACAGTAAGGACAAAGAAGGGCTTCGCAGAGTAGCGTCATCTACAGGATTTTGCAACTACCTGCCTGAACTTTCCACTCGAAGGGTGATGGAGTCGAGTGGCACTCTGGAGTTTAGTACCACGAACTATACTTCTGACAGCTGCGCAATTAACTACCTGCATATGGATTGCTGCTGCTGCTGCTGCTGCTGCTGCTGCCGTTGCTGGTGCCCGTTGCTGCGGCTACCATCTGAAACTACCTACGCTACCACCGTACTGATGCCGCGACGATGACCACCACTCCTGCACCTACACCTACCTTATATCCTCCTGCTCTTCCTCCTCCTCGCCTCCTCCTCCTCCTCCTCCTACTCCACCTCTTCCGCATCCATCCTACCACTACCGCTACCACTACTGATACTACTTCTTCCTTTGCCACCAGCCACGACCACCTACGCGACCACGACCACGACCGCCACCTCCTAACTCGACTCCTAGCAGCATGACCACCACCACACCAAAGAATGCTGCTGTTACTCCTGACCTCGGCGCTGGCCCACAGCTCCAGAGCCGTCCTGCACAGAAGGACCACTCGGTTTGCTATGCTGTGTTCCTTGGGATCACATCTCCGAAACTGTACGGACTCTGCTAAAACGAGCCGTTTGGGGCAGCAGAACTTTCGACATCAACTGCAGATCAAGCCCTTCCCGCACAGTCCCATCATGGAGCTGGAGCATGGCGATCCTCGGCAAGATCAGAGAATAAGGAAGAACGGATGCAACATCTTAATTTTCCTAAGAGCAAGAGAAAACTTGTCAAACCAAAAGACCTGCACTTGTAGAAACCACACATCACACCCCCAACCCCATCAATCCTTAACCTTGAACCCCAAACCTCAAAAAACCACGCTGTTAGCACTGTCCTTCTCCAAAAACAAAACATATATAGAGCCCTTCTAGAAAAAATCCTTTTTGCGACCCTGACACCGTTAAAGGGGCCTTTACTGTACCAAAGCCCTCAAGCAACCCAAAAAGGACCCATGAGCCCAAGATCTTGAGGCCGCTCCGCAGCCGCGCCGCTGCAGAGGCGAGGCCCTGCGCGTACTTGAGGCTTTGGTTTGGGGCTCGGGGGGGTTTAGGGACTCAAGGCCTTTAAGAGGTTTAATGGGTTCAAGGGGCTCAAGGGGTTTAGGGAGGTTTACGGGGTTTAGGGGTCTGGTGTTTGAGATCTAGGGTTGGGATGTTCGGGGTGTTTTGTGTGTGCAAGACATGCCGAACCGTCTCAACTTGCTCAACCAGGAACTACAAATCAACCCCTCCCCACGAAGCGAAGCCGTACACTACACCCCCAAACGCAAACAAACAGACGCCCCGAAGCCCATCCAGAAAAAGAGTATCCCAAGTCTCGCTCTTGCGGCCTCGCCAGTCGGCCGCGTCGCCTGACCCTCCGCGTGCCACGGCCAGAGCCGCGGAGGCGGGAGGGGGCGCTGCGCCTGCTCTGAAGGCTTCGGGGGTCGCTGGGACGCAGCTTGGGCTGGGGCCCTGGGCGGACAACGAAAAGTCAGGCTCCGTAGCATTCTTCACTGCAGTCGAGGGGTCGGCGCGATTCGAGTATGTAGGGGTTTAGGGATTCAAGTTGAGGGTGTCCTGGTACTACGATGCTACCAGACACGTGCAAACTGGAGGGCTCACCACGTAATCTTCGAAGGAGGTGTAGTGGTGCGGCTGGTCCAAATTGACCTGAGATTTTGGAGGGCAGGGGACTGCCCACCTCTCTCCCGGAGGATATGGGTAGCTGTCAAAATTATGGTCCTGTTTTGGGTACCCTAAATATTAGGTGCGGTATTGTATTAGGGACCCAAAAAAGGGACCCTAATTTTGACAACCACCCATTATACTATAGTTATAAGATGGAGACCCCACAATAGTATAGTTTAGGCCCCTATTGTAGGGTTTAATATGGCTACAGCAATTTGATGCGAAACGGCTTCGCCCGAAGCTAAAGCAAACCGGAGTCTTGAGAGGCAGAGCACGGCCATGTCGTAGAGGGAGATGTTCCACAAGGAGCTCTCCAAGAAGTCCTGAGGTCTAGACTCTGCTTACGGTTTAGGGTTTAGAGAAAAAGTCTATGAAATCTCAAACCGTCATAAGCTGAAATGGCTCATACATGACAGGCTTTATTCTGATTCCAAGACTAAGAGCCGAAGCCAAAAGTATCAATGACCGACCGCCTCAACAATCTGAAAATTTCTTACATCTAAGAATTTGCCGCCCGCCGACGTAGGTGTAGTAGGGTGCATGCAGGAGAACCTCGATGCTGGCAGCAATGGCGCTGGTGGCCTGCATTGAAATCTGTCGAAGATGTTCGGCCGTGGGACAAGAATGCCACGAAAGTATCACGTTGACAGACCTGCAGGAGTGCCAAACTCGCAGGCCTATCTAGCTGCTGCTGAAACAAACGTGCCATGGCACAGGAGCAGGCAACTGCAACACTTGATGCATGACTTCTTCGCGGAACGAAGACGATCTCGCACTGGTTTTGGCCTGCTCCCGCAGCTCGTCTTGGCCCATCAGCTGGAAACCAGTCAGGATAGCATACTCCTGTCGGGATGCGGCGTTCAAGCCCTGTGAGGTATATACAAGCGAATCTCTTTGAGCGCTTCAAAACTTGGTGCATCAACTTGGGATTGAAAGTTCCATCTAGAACGCCGAAGGCCACTGGCCTGCTGCCTGCCATGCTCGCTGTAGCAGAACTCGAAGCGTCTGCTAGAAGCTGCTGCTATATAACGTCCCAGCGGCCAAGAGGAGGAAGCCGTAAGGACAGTCGAGAGGCTGCCAGGCACCTCGTCTGGAAGGATCAGCCCTGCTGCTTTGAATTCGAAACAGTATCGCCGAGGTAAAACTCTTACTATCACTGCTACACATGATCATCGCAATGCATACTGCTGTCGCTCATCTGGTGCCGGGATTTCCCTGAGCCTTGCAGCACTGCTGCCCCGAGAATCGATCCGGAAAAGCCGGGGCCCCGACGACTTCTTTCAGAAATCCCGAATCTGAACGCAACTCTAACTATTCCACGGTTGCGACCTTCAATCTCCAGCAGAGACCAGGCTCCCATAGCAAGTAATATTCATATAGTAATCGTAATAGCAATAGTAATTGAGTGAAACTCAGCCCTCTGAAAGTCCGTCCGCTTGCACAGCTTCGAGGGCCCCCTTCCATCCCTATTTCCAACTTACCCAGCAGCGTTTCACAACAAGAGAATGCACCTGCAGTACCGTGCTGCTCGAGGAATTCGGAGAAACCTCGCGAAATTCAGAGAGTCGCTGCTTCGGCGATTTCCGCTTCCGGTATTGCAGAGCCTGCGAGACACACTAAACCCGAAGAAAGCAAATCTCATTGCAACAGCAACAGACGAACCTGACAGACGAATGTGACAAAAACGGAGAGACCCCACGGTTGGCTCAAAGATCCGGGCTTCCGAGAGCAGCCGCCACGTGCGACACAGGCGGAATTAAAGGAATCGCATAGCCGGTCCGCACCCTTGTCCTCAAGACGTGTCCTCCTTACGCTCCGCAACCCCAAAACCTGGAAAACCCTGGATTCCGAACACTGGGCCGAGTTCCCGGCTGCTGGCCTCGGAGATGGAAGGATCCACGCCGAAGAGATGTGCCAGCAGCATGACCTCGCCATCATAAGACGTCCACCGCAAGCGGCCGTTGCTACACACTGCAATTCAAATTATGCCGTGTGCTAGCCTATTAGATCACGCTGAATCATGCGAAACGAATCTAGAACAAGTTGAACCTCTAATGGCTCCGTGACCCGAGAACGGGACAAGCCAACCTGAAAGGCCGAGAGCTACTTCTGCGAAGACCCCCCAATAGTGCACAACCCCAACTAGCGCAAAAAGCACCCAATTTCAAAAGCCGCTGCCACACCGCCGGGGTGTGCACCTGCCGCGTCATCCAGTCATCCACGCCCCGGGAGATCTGAGAGCACGGGAGGAGAACAAGTGTGTGGATTGGTAAATCTGCCCCCACACAGTAATAGGGCTACTATTAAGATCCTAAACTTACCTATACCATGAGTATTATCCAACTGTTACTGAGTGGGGGGGCAGTACCCAATGTGTGGACAACATTAGACAGCCGGCAGACTGACTGGAGAAATTGCCAAAAGTCACCCCCGAGCTTCTCCGCTTCGTTTCGTTGAGGCCCTGGCTTGGTTTGGTTTGGGGGAATCTCTGGGTTTTGAACCGACACCTCTGTCTGCCCTGAGAAAACGACGCCGCCCTAAGCCCCAAAGCCCTCACAACCCAGAGCTGGTGCCCCGAGCCACCAACGCTAAGCGGGCTTCGGGGCTGAAGGGTTGGGTTCAGGTTCCCGGCTGCAGCTGCCGGCCAAGCAATCCATGCAGAAAGACGAAGCGCAATGACGGAAGGCCGCTGGATGGGAGGCCTCTTCCGAAGGAAAGGAGCATAAGCCTGGAGCCTGAACGCCCCAGCTCTCAAAATCTCAACCCTGACGCAGCCTGAGCAAAGGCCCCTGAACCCTCGCCGTCCTGAATCGTGGTGTGCCAGGGCAGCTCATCCCGGAAGTCTTCGGAACCCGGCTGGGACAGATCAAGCCTCCGACGGCGCTCGTCGTCAGGGTGTAGGGTATCGTGTGGGTTCAGGAGTTTAGGTGTTGTTGAGGGCTCAGGTTGTGATGTTGACGATTTAAAGCCTGGCGTGCTTCGGGCTTACTTGAGGCCGTGGCTTCTTCATTTAGAAACTTCAAACCTTCACCACTTCGCGTTTGGAGCTTCGAAAACCTTGCCAAGTGTTGCGGTTAGTTTCAGGGCTGACATCGTGAAAGGCAAGTGACATCTAAGACTATGCTCGTTTCACATGCACGACGTTCACCATATTGTATGTCGTTGTTTCTTCTTTGTTCTTTCTTTATTTATTTCTTTCTGTCCTTATCTTTTGCATTTATTATGTCTTTCGTCCTTTAGTTCTTTCTCTTTAATTATCTTTAATTATTCTGGTGGGAATTGGGGTCTACACTCTCGCTCCCGTATCTGTCCTCTCAACATTGCACCAACCAAAAATGACCTTTTGGGCCCATTTCACAGCGAAACCTGAATTTTGCACAGCCATGCGGCTTGTTGTGCAGATCCAAGGCGAACTGGAAAACTTCCACCTGCAAGGCTCGGGAAAGTGAATCGATACCGGAGATCTAAAGTCGGGTTTAGGGTTCAGGGTTTAGGGCTTAGGGTGTCGGGTTTAGGTTTAGGGTTTAGGGTTTGGGGTGTAGGGTTTAGGGTTTCGGGTGTAGGGTTTGGGGGTGTAGGGTTTAGGGTGAGGGTTTAGGGTTTGTCTTCCCATTAAGCTCGGCCTCTTCGAATCGCTTTCGAGACACCAGCTGGAAAAACTCCTGGAAGATATCGGAATGCCGGCAGTGGAGGAACTCTCGGAAACCTCCACAGGTGTGCCAGCCCATCACAGCCATCGAGATTAGCATCCATAAAATACACCCACAGAAAGAGCCCGAAGCCTGCTGTGCTGTGTCACTGAGTCACTGCGAATCACTACCTTGAATTTGACCCAAACTCTGGCAATGGAGACTCTGCCTCCATTTCCGAGTCGATTTCGCAACTGCGAGGCCTTCGAGAACAGCAGGCGAAGAGATTCACAGACCACTGGTCATTCCAAGGCAAGAAAGGTCCGAAACGCCTGACTAATTCAACCCTGACACTGGAAGGTCATAGTCATGTTCACAGCGTAAACCATGACGAACGTGCTATCGATTGTCATCGCGACAAACGTGGCGGTAATGTGCACTGATGACATGACTGGTGTCAGCAGCTTGCTCAGTGAACCGTTCATGCAGCAAGCACCCAAGCAATGCACTGGCACCTCCGACGGCGCCGGCGCAGACACCAGTGGGTAAACTGAAAGCGAAAGTGCAGCCGCCAGAACACCGACGCCCATCTAGCCCAAGAACTGAAATAGATAGAATTGCTTGGACGTAAGTGTTTGATGTGGTATGCTCCAAACAACCACCTAGCCTAAATCAGAAGATTGGAAACAGTAACAACTTCATGATATATGATTGTGTGGCTAGAATTCAGATGGGGTCGGATGAAAACCAAGTGGCAACCTGAAGAAGCAACCATAATTCCATGTACAACGTAGCTAACATGAGGCTTCATAGCAATTCAATTGCCGATTGCTCGAAGTTTGAGTTTAGTCAACGAATGCAAATCAATGCTCTGAAATTTAGCCTTTGGAAAAAGCAAGTTGCCAGCTTGCTTTGCATCTCTTTGCATGATAATCTCGCCACGACTTGACTACACTCTTCTGCAAGGAGCCGGAGGATGGACTTGCGCAAATGAAAACAAGCCGACCTGTTGTCTTGAGCTCGGTCCAAGCCAACAACTTGTAACAACTTGGGTATGAGAAGCTCTGTCTCTGCTCATCTCCGAAACCCCCCGGTGCGTCGGCGTTTGCGGACCAAAACCGCAGCAGTGGCTCTGTCGTCCACAGCCCCGCTGCAAGCCCATGTTGGCTGATCGGAGCACATTCGATGCTGCGGCCGTGCTGCGCCCGCTTGTTTCGCGAAGCTGGTGCGGTTTAATGGGTTTTGCTCAAGACAAAGTTGCTTGTGGGCAAACCTGCCCACATCAGCCATTGTTGTCGTGTTGGCAAAGCACGCGTGCTCAAGGCAGTTTTGCTTTTGGTTTTGTGCAACATCAAAGTGCAAACCAATCTTACAGAAAACTAGATAACGTACAATCAGCGGCTGCTGCTGTGCTCTTGAACTTCTCTGGAGAAGCAGACTCCACAAGAACGCGTTGGCCGTTAACGCAGTTAAAAACTGTAACGACAAATGGTCATACTTTAGAACCATGGAGGTGTTGTACACGCTGTGCACAAAGTTGCCTTTTAAGGTCTGCTGCAACATATGCAAACAGTGGCAAGGAACCAAAAGCATTTAACATTTTGCGCCACCTTTTTGTTGAAAGGCAGAATTGCCGCCAACATTGTTTTTAAACCATCCATCCAGAAAGTAGCTTGCAACCGCTTGCAGCCAACGCATGCACTGCAAATGCAGCGGAGTCTTATGGCGTTGCCTAACAGCACAATTCCAGCTAAAACCAAAAGTGACAACCTGCCAAAATAACCAAGGCGAAGGCTTCTTTTGGCACAAACCAAGAACTGGCCACAGTGCGCACTTTGTTCCTTAAGATTGGCTCTTGGCTGATGCGCTGCAAGTCTTTCAATTGAAGGCCTTCAAAGGGCAGAAAAAACCCTCCTTGAAGAAGCAGGCTGCGTTGCAGATGCGGCGTTTCAGAACCGAAGGCGGAAGCGATTGCTGTGTTTTTGTCCGCTTCTTTCACTTTTACAAGCCGACACCGGACGCGGCGATTGGCTTTCTCTACATGCTGCGTTCCGGGTTGCAAGAGCTCACATTGCGCACACGCAATGCTGTGCTCTCTGCGGAAGTACGATTCGAGACATACCCCGCATTGTTAGCAGCGCCAGCGCCAAATTGGCGGCTTGGGTGTCTAACCCCGACTGCGGACCGCCAGGACAGACCTTCTACCCGGTTGGCGAAATCGCTAACCATTTGTATGCAAGAAAAGCAAGACTGTGTGCGGGTCGCTTGTGGCGGCAGCAAAGAAGAGACGCGGAGGAACCAGAAGCCATCCAGCAATCTTCAGCACAAAGGCCTTCGAGGCCTTCTGAAAGGGAGGACGAAGGCTTCAAAGACTTCGAAGGGTGGAACGAAGGCTTCGAAGGCTTCGGAGGGTGGGAATGAAGGGAGCTTCGAAGCCTTCGAAGGGAGCGGACAAAGGAAAGCGGTTTGAAGAAGAAGCACACGAAATCGCTCAAAAGTGGCTTTTGAAAAGAAAATAAAATGAGAAAAAGAAGAGTTAAAGAAGCAAAACGCAATCACAAAAACAAAAGAAGAAGAAGCCACAGAAAATCGCTTTATGGTGGCTTTTGCGAAGAACAAAAAAAAAACAAGAGCAACCATACGAAAGAAAACGTTAGAATGAAGGCTTCAAAGCTTTGGAAGGCAAAGGCTTCGAAGCCTTCGAAGCGCGCTGTTCAAGACAGTTGACTTGCAGAATTTGTGTCTTGACACTTGACACGCAGGATCTAGGCTTCTTCCGGCGCTGGCCTCCCCGCACGATACCTGCCAAGGCAGTCTCTGCTGTCGGCGCGCACGCCAAATCTGTTGGTGTAATCTTTGTTACGGAGCCTTCCACGGATGCCCAGGGGCTCTGCCGCCGTTATAGACCGCCCCCGACGGCACTGACAGATTGGGCCGCGGAGGTTGTCCTTCTCTGCTATCGAAGGTTGATGAAGAACTCCAATCCCGATGACTCGTTCCGCATGAGAAGGCCTTGACTGGGCCCAGAGGGACCCACGAGCAGTGCACTTTTTCCACTCTTTTCGCTTGAGCTCGAGTCTCTGCATGCCGGGTGTGCAGTCTGCTGGGGCTCGACCTCTTTACGGCCAAAACGCTTTCCGGACAGGACCGACGTTGGACACGGTGGCTTTCTAGGGGTGGCAAGGACCCCACCATGGTGACCGTATCCGGCTTGGCTGACGTCCAATTCCTTGGCAGCTGTGCGCTTGAGGTGCGTTCGTCGGGCAGTGTGCTCTGGAGCAGGAAGGTGACGATGGAGAACTGAAAGGTAATCGTTCTAATCACCTCGTGGCCGCAGGCGCTCTGCCCCTGCCTCTTCGAGCAGGACCTCAAGAGCTCGCTTTATTTTTTCGCAAAACCCCATTAGCGATTTCGTGTGTCTTGCGGTTGAGTTTGTGGTTTCTGTCATTGTAGTGTGCTCTCAGTAATTTTGTTCGCAAAACCAGCCACAAAGCGATTCTGTGTGGCTTCTTCTCCTTTTGTTTGGTGATTGTTGGTGTTCTGTTCGAACCCCGTTCGAACTCTGGGGGGAGTCCAGAACCCGGGGTTGGGCGGTTCATTTGAACGTGGACCGGCTTCAGCGTTGTGGCTCCTGGCAGAGGCGTCCACTCCATCCCCGCGGAAGAACACAATGACTCTGCAAGTTTCCGACCAGAAGCAACCTATTTACCAAGCGGTCAAAGGCTTCGACATGGTTCATGCGGATGAGAACGAACGTCTGGGAGGCAGCCCCTCGACGTCCGCTGAAGTGCGCATTGAGTGCTTCGGCGCCAGTACATTCGCGCTCCGGCTCGCAACGACGCTTTGGCAGCTCATGTGTTCCACGCAGTGCTACGGCTCCACTGGATGTCGTGCGGAGACATTTTCCAAGTTGTCTGCGACGGCTTCTCGCGAGACTCAGTTCGGCGGGTCGGTATGCCAGCCTTTTGCTTTTTCCCTGCCGGTTATCCAGTTAGCGCACGCTATGTTGGACGTTAAGTTCACTGCTTCCAGTCCGGAAGCTAGAACGATCGTCACACAGCTCCAGAGGGCACGACGCAGCTCCCACTTGCAAGATCCACATTCCGCGTGGCTTCTCCGCAGGCAGCTACTTGAAGGATCGTGGTGGTTAGTACTTATTTACTACATGTTATTGGGAATAGTATGTTGGTGTAACTCAATATATAAGTACGACAAGCCAAGTTTTCAGTCAGTCAAACGTGATAAGTGCTCAAAAACAGTTAGTAAGTATATGGATGTACTTATAAAATAATATAGGAGTTAATATACTAATATACATTTGCAAGACTTACCTAATCAGTTAGTAACTGAAAAGCAACTATATGTGAACATTTATAAGTCATTTAGAGGGCAAGTTATAAGTGCAGTAAGTACACTTAGAAACAGCATATGAGATGTGGCTTGTGGCTTCCATTACCACATAAGATGCACACATATTTCTGCATTGAGACTGTCCATGCACGTTTTTTCAAGAGGCTCCTTTGCTGCTGTGCATGCATGCAAGCAGTGCAAGTTTCATGAGAAATCTGAGCAGTTGGCTTTGCATATTGAGTTTGAAGCGCCGGCAGGGCATCTGCTCGTCGGCAGCATGATGACATGCCATGCATGCATGTGTTGCAGCTCAAGCTTCACACTTTGTGTTTCTTTGGCCAGCTTTCAACTTCCTGCTTCCGTTGTTTCCAATGGATGCAGAACTCATCCGGCGGTGCCAATCCATCCTTGAGGTGGCGAAGGAAGGCGAGGGCCTTGTGAAGAGTGTCCACGACTGTCTGCACTTGCTGGAGTCCAGAGGTTTCGTCTACAACATCACACTCCACCCCAGCATGGTAGGAATTTCCCCGCTCAACCGCGACGGCAGTGGAGTGAATGCCGTGGACGTGCATGAGCTCCTGAGCGACATCCTATCAGCCGGATTCCTGGAGCAACGGGTCCATGCCGTGGGGGTCGAGCCTCGAGACGGCGAGGAGATTCTCTGGAACACCGCCTTCTTTCAGGCTGCTCACGGAATGTTGGGCCACTTCGACCCATCTGCCATCAAATGCCTCAGTCTGGCAGGATCTCACACAAACTGTGTGTTGAGAATCCTTGGCCAGGAAATCTTGCATGATGGAGATGAATCCATCTGTCATGATGGCAAACTCAACCTGGAGCTTTTGCGAAAGAAGGACGAAGCTTTCTACCGGGCGGCAACGCACGGGGTCAATTGGAAAGTCCTGAGGAAGGAAGCCGCCATGCACCTGCCTCATCTGTTGAGCATGATCCAACGGACAGGAAATGCAACCATGCAGAGCCAGGAACACGAGCTCCAGCTGATGAGACGTCTCCACGGGCTTTGGGTGACCGAGTCGACCCATACGAAGCATGTCGATTTCCTCTCCATCAAGAAGAAGGTTACCGCTGGGAAAACCGTGCACTTTAAGGCTCTACCGAACCTTTACACATTCGCACTCAAGCATGCCTGAGGGCGGACTCCGTTTCTCATGGATGAGACGGAGGCCTTTGTCAGAAGGCACTCCCCAAGCACCCGCAGTTTGGGTGCCGAGTTTTGGGAGAAGATCAGCATGGAGGTCAAGGGTACCAACCAGTTCTCGAGGGCACGACATGCACTTGCCACTTGATCGTCATGCATAGCATGTTGTTGCACGAATGTATATATACACAACATGTTCACATGATTCTTTAATTTGTAAAATAGACATACTCAGGTGAAGCTCGCATATGCCAAGGAAGTGGCACAGGCAGGCGATGCTAAGAGGATGATGCACAAGGACATGTTGACCGAGGTCCGTGCCGCAGACCTCATCATGTATCAATGGCGACAACTCGTTGAAAGGCTATCCAAGGGGAAAGACCTGCTTGCTTTGCCGGAATTGATCACTGCACTCAACTTCGCTGACATGCACTTGATCGGCTTCCTCTTGAAGCTGCCCGTGGACGTGAAGCAGTACTCTTCGAAGGAGGCTTTGGCCCACGATGTCGTCGTTATCATGCGAGGGATTTGCGGGCAGCACGTGGACTCGCCATGGGAAGCTCATGCCATGCAACAGAAGGTCGCCGAGGACACTTCCAGCCCCAAGGTCGTTGCGATGAGGGAGCTGAACCCAGATGGGACGGTTAAGCAACCCGTGACACTCCTCGAGGATGCAGGCTTCAAGGTTGGATCATGGTGCAGAAGGAAGAGCGATGGGCAGTCCGGCCAGATCGTAGCATGCCAAGGAGGCAAAGTGCAATTGAAGCAGGCCGATGGCAACCTGGGCAAGGTCGTGCTGGACGTGTTTCTCGGCGGTGATTGGTCAGTCTTCACACCGAAGCCCGAACCAGTGCTGATCCCAGATGTCCTGCAGTATGCCCCCGCATCCGGATTTCCAGAAGCAGCAAATGCAGGCCACCATGATGCTTGATATCTTCGATCTGCAGGCTAAGCATGAAGCTAACAGCATGCTTGCACGGCTACACATGCACTTGAAGCCCCAGAAGAAGATTGTGGCAATTGGGAAAATTCCCAAGATGAGACTCACTCTGGTCCCATGCAGCTTGCAGTTGAAGCATGGGGCCAAGGTGCCCGACGACTGCTTTGAAGTCTTCCCAGCTGTGGGTGATGTGCATTTCTGGTCGGCTCCGATGCTCGTGCTTCCGAAAGCCGAGGGCGATGCTGGCTTTGCGAACTTAGCCTTCATGATTCAGAGCACTCATGAGGAGGACCTCGCCAACATGGAAGTCTGCTACGTCAGAAGCCAACGAATGAAAGAGATCCAGCTACCCCTGCTCAAGAATGTTCGTGAAATCGCTGAAGGCGAGAGCCTTTGCATTTACAAGGAGAAGATTGAAGTTCCGCCTATGCCACTCGATCAAGACTCTCCGAAGCCGAACAAGAGAATGCGCACGAAGGCTCCGGCAGACCCATGAGAGGCACAGCATATCACATGCACCATCATGCACATGCCGGCACATGCATGCATGTATGCTTGCTTGGGCCACACACCGATCTTCATGACCACCGCGAGGATGGCAGCATTTCAGCAGCTGTGCAAAAAATGCCATACGTGATCGCTGTTGTGGTGTGCTGTCATTGGCAAAGCCGCATTCACTTGAGGTGCTTGCATGTGCATGAGCGAATCCTTGCATGACATGTTACAGCTTGTATGTGTAGTTGAGCTCTTGTGTGCACACACCTCCCGTCGACATGGCTGATGATTCTGAACCTGAAGATGACCGTGACGTTCGACTATGCACAAAGACCGTGGTCATGTATGGGAAGGGCGAGCAGTGGATCCCGACTCAGAAGAACGAAGAGGGCATGGTGTGGTTTTCGGTGAACGGCAGGTGGGACAGAGGCTTCACGAAATTTGTGTTCGGCAAGGCCCTAGATCTCCGGAAGGACAAGGATAGCCGATCGTTAAACAGCAAATTCTTCGATGACTTGATGACCCAGAGACAGACGACATTCAACGAAGTCATTCAAAAACGCCTGCAAAGCGAAGACGACACCCAAGAGGACACCCCGCCCCAAAACAAGAAGGTCTTCAAGTGTTTCAAAGCCACAGCTGCCAAACATCAACAATATGCCCCGTATTACATCGACATGCAGTTGCCTGCCATCGAGGAAGGTGGCCCGACTCCCACAGCAAAGGTTCTCTTCGAAGGGCTTGGCAGTCATACTTTGTGGTTTGAACTTACAGAGGCGAACTTGCAACACTTGAAAGCTGGCTTTGTGAACTCGGAGAGCAAGGACCGGCAGCCCCGAGGAGCCAAGAGAAAGAAAGAGATAGGCGGCTAGCTTTTTCGCCGGCAGGGCAATGCTCGTCGGCAGAGAACATATAAGCACGAACATGATGCAATCCCGACTCGTAGCTCATGTGCATGCTGGAAATCAAGAAAAGTGCTGCTGTCTTTTCTATGTTTTTCTATATTCATAGGAAGAAAAGTCTTTATATCACCAGCTCCACGTCAGCAGTTGGGTTTATAAGGGGGTTGTGCTTGGTTTTGCGATTCGCAACTGTCCTGCAAGCTTGACTGATGGCTGTTGATCATGTCAGGATACAATGTCTTGTGCAATGCATGGTGCAGGCTCCGAGCTGGTTTTGTAGGCATGGCTTCGCCTGTTTTCCGAGGGCATGTTGTGCTGTGTGTATACATATACAGACACGTGCCACATGTGATAGATGATGCTCGCATGCCATCACAGCAATGCACCAGGCAATGCACACAGCAGTGCACTATATGCAATGCACACATGTCATGCAGACCCTGCTGGCAGCTTCATAGGGGGTCGCCATGATGCGGTTCTCCATCGGAGATGTGACCGAGGATCGACCGGCCTTGTTCGTTCGCTTGGACCTTATAAATGATTTTTGTTGCAGGAGTCCGTGGACTGGAGCTCCTTCATGCAGGTCGAGCTGCTAGGGGGCATGGAGGAGACGGAGGAGGCTTGTTGTATTTCACTTTGCTGAGTGCCGGTATAAGGGAGTTGTACTTGTACAATTGCAGGGAATGTGGACCAGCCAGTCCGGGGAGCTTCGCTGGACCAAGGGCAAGGGGTGGAGGATCCTGATCAAGGACGGAGGTCGGGCTTTCCGTCTGGGAATTCATTGTGTTGTTTTTTAGAACAATATCCCTTGCAGGCATGTGCCTCTTCCGGCACCCGGACAAAAGTGCCGAGAAGCCACCCCTGGAAGGTCATTTGCTCGGAGTTTCGTATATGCACATATACATATATCGGTATATTCGTTCACAAATCCAGGCTGGGAAGCCCTCGACTTCGACAACACGTGGATCCCCAGCACACTGCGCTTGGAGGACACCTCTTGGAACAGCAAGCTTATATAAGGCATGCATGCATGTTGCCAGGGAGATTTCGAGGTAGAGCCGCCGGAGGTGCCGAATCCATCGCTTATAACGAAGTACTCAATTCAGCCCTGCATGCAGGCACGGGAGCCGATCAACTTGGTGCCTGCAGCAGAGGCACCAACTCGAAAACCGCGAAGTGTCGAGCCCTGTTTTTGCATGCACATTGGCAGGCATCAGACAGTTCAGGCTTCGAGGAGCCGGCATGTATACTCGCTTATATTGAACCTTTCTTATATGTGTTTTGGCAGGATGTGGAAGTGGAGATGGAGATGGGCCCCGTGGTTCTGAAGCCGAAGGCTTCCATCCCGCCTTGGTAGATCCCTGCATGCGAGCTTGTCGCCCTGCACACGAGAGTGTCATGTCTCTGTGTGTGTGTGTGTATCTGAGTGTATAATCCAAACCCAAGCCCCGGTATACCCTAACTATATATAACACAATTATATATAGTTCCGGGTGCAGGAGAAGAAAATGCCCACGGTGCCCAAGAGGAAGTGGCTGCTTCCGGAGGAGAATGTTCTGTTTCTTTGTTTAACCCACTCCTCCTTTGCCGTTTGCAGGAGGGCAGTGGCAACAAAAAGCAGCGAAAGGGAGCCGGTGCCCAAGATCGCAAGCATCTTCATTTTAGATAACATTTCTAGTGTTCGCCCGACAGGATTGGAAGACCACAAAGATGCCGAAGGCAAGGGTCCGTGGGTTTATAATTAAGGGTTTAGGGTTTAGGGTTTAGGGCGATAGATTCTTGGATACAATGTGATATGCATGTGCTGTCGCAGGTGGACGAAAGAAAGCCCAAAGAGCCAGACCATCCGCCGAAGGGCAGAAAGGAGATGCGGTCATGCATGGAGTGCAGTGGTTTGTAAGCACGAATGCAACATGTGGTGAGGAGCACAGGGCATCCGGATCGGGGGGAGCCTCTTCCAAGGCCTGACTCGCTGATGCATGATGTTGTGGGTGCACTGATAACATGGCACACAAACACAGAGAGACACACACACACAAGCACACACACACACACACACAAAAAAAAAAGAAACAGACACAGAGGCACACACACACACACACCGAGACACCGAGACACAGCACACACACACACACGAAACACACATACACACACGACACACGACACACACACACACACCCAATCCTGACAGGACTCCAAGAAGTGGTGGCCACCGCCACCACCACCCCCTGCAGGGGGTCGGAAAGGCCATGCCCCCCCCACCCCGCCACCACCACCGGCGGCCCAGACTCCCCCACCACCACCGGCGCCCCAGACTCCCCCCCCCCCATTGCACCGGCAAAGGCGGTGGCCAATGGGCCGGTGCCGAAGTGGGATGGAAAAGGATGGAGGATTGGGGAGTGGTGGATGAACCCCACCACTGGCCAATGGCACGGGCTGGGGGCTCAGCACTTCGTGGCAACCGGATCATGATGCATGTCTCGTGGCACATAGGCCTGGTGAAGGGCGATCGCGGCCACGGACTCGCGGTCAAGGCCGGGGAGTGCACGTGAACAACACATTGCGAGAGACATGCATGGTTGTGCACAATGGCAGGACCCATGAACCTGGCATGGGAATCCGTGCACAATCTGTCCGAGGCTGTGGTCCAGTGCATGAGAAAGGGTTAAGGGCTTATAGTTTGTCAGGTAGAAAAGCAGCACCCACGAACGGCAAAGCAGCCACAGACTCACACAACACAGCAGCCACAGACACACAGAACACAGCAGCCACAGACTCATGCACACAGCACAGCAGCATAGACCCAAGCCCGTTTCTCGTGCACCGGCTGCGGCAAAGAAGCTAGGAAATTGACGGCACAGGCAGCGGGGCCAAAGGAAAAAGGCCTCATGTAAGGTCCGAACCTCCGGGGAAAACTCGGAAGTAGGCCGCTCTAGTGCATAGGGGCTAGAACAGCGTTTTTATAGATTGATATGGTTGGGGGGTCCGGGAACCACTGAACTTTATAGATTGATATGGTTTCGGGTGCCTTGGACCCTGAAAGTTTATAGATTGATATGGTTGTCTGTGTTTTAGGCTACAGATTTATAGATTGATAAACTGTTGGCTCCATATTGCCAGCGAATTTTATAGATTGATATGGTTTGGGGTTGTGGTTTTAAGAACCCTTTATAGATTGATAAACTTCGTGGCTAAGCTCTAGCTAGCTTGGCAACCTCTAGGCTGGCATCCTTTGCCTCGCTTCCGTGTGCTGTCCGTTCGGAACCTCAGGCATTTTGCCTCTTGTACAGAACACACTGTTTGAAGAAGGAAGAAAAAAAGCTGGCTGCATCGGCTGCATGCACCTGAGATTGTGTGCACCTTGGGACAGGGAGTGTGTACCAGCCTCGCGAAGTTTCCATGTGGTCTGTGCAAGAGAGAGAAAGAGAGAGAGCGAAAGAGAAGCCAGAGGCAGCCCACAACACCAGAACTCGAACACCCCAAACAACAAAGCCACACAACCAGGAAGCACGAAAACACAGAAACACCAAAACACTTCTAACCCAGAAACACCAAAACACTGTTATATATATATATACAGTCCCACAATACGAAATCCCAAACCCCATGCAGACAGCAACCCAAACCACAAGCGAAAAGCCTGCAGCCCCATGGTGGGGTGCAGTGGGGTGGTGGGGCGGTGGGGTGGTGCCACGTCTATCCGGAAGTGTGTGCATTCAGTGCAGCCAGAAAGAGAGAGCGATATTTGCATGCATGTTTGTGTGCATGTGCAAGGTGCCAGGTCCAGCCCGGCAGTGTGTGCATACATTGCAGCCAGAAAGAGACAGAGACGGTGAGAGAAGGTACAGAGAAACAACCAAAGCCGCCAACCGTAACCAACAAACTCGACCGCCGAGCCCTCTCCTTTGGAGGGCAGCACGTGACATGACACGGAAGTATATTCCCTGCATGATCGACAGCCATGCACGTCAATCAGAGATGTGTGCTTGTGCATGCACGAGCATGCACCATTCGCTCGCAGGGCAGTGCTCGTGAGCAGACATGTCATGCATTGCCGCAGGTTTTGAGTTGCCGAGCAGAGCACGTCACGAGCCAGTTGCCACAACCCCCGCATCCATCATGGCAGTGCATCAAGTGTTGCACCCCGGCATCCGACCACACGAGGCTGCCTTCGTTGATAAGTGGTCTTCTGGCGACTTTCCGCACAATGGCCAGTTTGAGGCTTTGAGTTACGTGTCGAACTACAGACTCACCCAGGGTTATGACGTGATCTCATTTCGTGGATGGCACTGCCACATGATTCGCCCGTTGGCGAATCAGGATGGGAGTCTATGGCGGGCCATACAAAACGGCAACGTGAGACCCATGATCATTCGCCCGGCCCCTGCTGGCATCCTCTACATCAACCTTCAAGCCCGCCTCGAGGACGGATTTGTCTGGCTTCAGGGCACCATGCTGTCGGGCCGAGTGGCATGGAAAGGGAGACAACTGGCCACCCTTGACGTCAGGATGAGTACTGTCTCGGCGAGAGTCAGAACCGTTCTGTTGCGGCAGAACATCATCAGATCGACCAACAAGGTGGTCTTCATGGGACACACACGCATCCTGAGCAAGACGGCGAAGCTGTGGTCCCCACATGTGAAGAAGTCGCAATACCAGAAGCAGTTGCCTAAAAGGCGAATGGTCCGAAAGACCGACCCTCGCTACCTGGCTCTAGGGAGGTATATGGCCCCATTTTGATTTCAGTGTTGTTTACTGTGCCCATGCACTCTGATTTGAGTTTTGTTTCGTGGGCACATGCACAAGAAGCTGCATCGGTTGAAAAAGAAATCATGCAGTCGCTCGTCCTGCTCATGCATGCATTCACAACATACAGACTTTCGCACAACACCTTTGCACACATGATGCATATATTCATGTTGTGGTCCTCAAGACAGGGTGCCTATTATATATAGTTTCTAGCTATTATATAGTCGCCCAGTGTGTGGATCCGAACCACTCGGGCAATGCTCTCCGGCCGGGTTGTCTGGCCAAAGAGCTTCAGCATGCAGAGCAAGAGATCATGCGATCCACGGGAGATCTGGCGATGCTCGGGGACCCCCGCATGAAAAGACATAAATGCATTGCTTTTCGAGTGCATGCATGCCAGCATGAACATGGTCTTTAGGGCATTTGCTTGTCGCATGTATGATTCATTGTTTCCTGCCCACGACAGGCACGTTTGCATGCACGTAGATTACTTGCTCTGAAGCACTCAGTTTTCGCCACGATCCTAGCTCAGACCGCCATGTTGCGACAGATCGAAGGTGTCAGGGCCATCACGAATTCCCTGGCAGACGAAAGCACAAGGCAGCAAGTCTTATGTGCTCAGGCTCACTCGTTGCTCCAGCAGCTGAAGGCCACCGTCATCACGGGTGACATGGTCGAGCAGTGTACGAGGGCAATCCAAGAGTCGCCATTCACGGACAGTCAGAAGGACACCTTCCTCACCGCACTCAGCGAGAAAGTCTTGCAGAGTGGAGGCGACGGCAAGAAGGTGAAAAAAACCACCCAGGAGCTGGAGGACATCGGTCCTTTCCTGAGTGAAGAGGATGTGCAGTACCTGACCAAGACGGAGCTGAATAGCCTTGCCAAAGTGACTCGGTTGGCCGAGGTATATGCAAGAGTAGGATGCACGAATCCCACAGAGAATACATGTGGGAAAGCGGTGTCCTTCCTGAAGGAATACATGCATGTGCCGGGCCTCACGGATCCACCGACGTTTCTAAAGTCGGTCCAGGATTTCAAGGTTGCTCTGAAATCAGCAGCGAAAAAGGTACCGGCACCATCCATGCACATTGCGAAGTTTACCACCCCGGAAGCTCTACCGGATGAGGTTGCGAAGCGGCTCTTTGCAGAGAGCAAGCCATCGGACATGCAATCAGGACCTGTGGCGATTTACGGGCCGTTGAGAAAGTCACACAAAAGCATCACTGGCGGCACTACCTCTACGGCTGCCCCCTCGTCCTTTCAGCATGGCATGATGGGCGGGATGATGGCGGGCATGCCCATGATGCCATCGATGATGCCTATGTCTGTGCATGGTTCGCCCGTGATGAGCATGCAGCAAATGATGCAGACATATGCACAGCAGTATGCACAGCAGTGCCTTGGACAGCAAGGGCCGAGAGGAGGATCCTTGCCCAACCTTGTCTTCTTCAATCAGGGTGGCCAGCAAGGGCATCAGAACCAAGAGTCCTTCAATCAGCCCGGACAGCAAGCTACGGTGCTTCAAAAGCAGCTGACTGGAGGGGATCAGCAGTCGGCTCCAGGTGGAGAATTGGTTCCGTTCACTCAGCCACAAGGTGAGCCCCGTGTGCAGCAGAACCAGTCCGAGACGAAGCCCCCCATGACGGCAGCCGCCCAAGCTGAGGCGATGTTGGATGCATGGAACAATCGCAAGCAGCTAGAGAAGGACGACAAGGAGGACAAGGAGGATGATGAGACGATGATGAAAAAGCCAGCCGCTGCCATGAAAGCAAAGCCGAAGGCCAAGTCCACCATGAAGAAAGTGCAGGCCAAGGCCAAGGCCAAGGCCGGCAAAGCCGCCGCGAGTCCGAAGCAGAAGGCGGCACCAAAGGTCGAGCCGCCCAAGCATGTTCTCAAGAAGATGCCGAAGCATGAAAGGGCGAAGTACAGGCCCCTGGGGTGCAGCAAATGCAGACGATCCCCAGGATGCACGCCATCGTGCTTTTGAAGCCGAGCATGCTGCACACGTGCCGTTGAAAAGTGTTGTATGCTCTGCATGCAAACATCCTGCATGTGCAAAGGGCTATCATGTCACTGCTAGTATATCTTTGGGGTTTATATAGGGTTTATATTTTAGGGGTGTATAGGAATTATAGTATAGGATTATAGGGGTTTAGGGGATATAGGGATATGGATGCAATGATGCCACATGCATGCAAGCTTTGCCGAGTGCTCCCAGGCTGTTGCATGTTGAGTAGAAAGCACCTCATGCATGGTTTGAAGAAGTTCGTAAGTAATGCTCATGCCTGCATGGAGATCGTGAGATATCTGTACTTGGATAACTAGTAGCTCAAAAAGGCACTCATCATTTCCTGCATCCGCCATTTGCTCGGCTGCAGGGTATATATACTCGCAGTCAGGGCTTGATTGCACACACACTTATCCGGCACTTCTTCTTTTGCCGGTGACCGAGATCTATATATACCATCATGTCTCAGTCTGCCAGCAGCAAGGCTCCTGCATTTTCTATGTTGGGTCGCAAATCATATGTATCCCAACGTGGACTGGAGAGTGTCTTGACAGACTTAAAGGCATCTGGACTGCTTGCAGACGATGTTACATCCTCCAGATCCTCCATCAAGCGATCTCGGGAGGAGGACCTTGCATCTCTCACCGGTGTCTTTGGGCCTTTGGTGCAGCAGATGGAGGTCCCGGTGGAGGGCAAGCATGACAAGAACATCGTGGTGCCATACATACACCCAGCTTCCTTCCTGAAGCACGTCTTCAGCCTTGCTCCGTTGTGGGATTTTTTGCGACAGGAGGTCTTGCCACACAAGGAGAGACCATCCTATGGTCGCCCAGGGGGTCTGATTTTTTATGCTGACGAAGTCACCCCGGGCAACACCCTGAAATCCAACAATTCTAGGAAGATGCAATGCATATACTGGAGTATATCCGAACTGGGAAGTCGCGGTTTGTCGTCCGAGGCATTATGGTTTCCATTAACCTGCCTACGGTCGCACCTGTGTTCTTCCATCGGCGCGTTGACATGCTTGTGGCGACTCATGCTTCGATTGTTTTTCACAGAGCACGATATGCGAAAAGGCATCCTGGTGGACACTCCTGAAGGAGACCATTTCCCCATGTTCTTGGACTTGAAGATCTTAGTCGCAGATGAGGCGGCCATTAAGCAGTCCATCGAGGGAAAAGGTGCATCAGGCACCGTCTTCTGCTGCCGATGCAGCAATGTGGTTGCTGCTAGAAGTGCTGTGAGCGACATGCGATCTGAGTTCGTGTCCAGCTTTTGCACTGATTATTCCAAATTTCGTTTGCACACCAATGCGACGACTCGGGATTTCCTGGCATTCTTGGATGCACAGCACGGAACTATTAGCAAAGCCCACTTCGAGGCCTTGGAAAAAGCCCTGGGATTCAACCTTCGAGTGCACGGGTTGCTCATGGATGACATCATAGGACACAAGGTGCCTGAGGCCATCATGTTTGACTTTTTTCACATATACCTCGTCCATGGCATCGTTGGAAATGAACTGGGCTTCTTCTTCGGCATGCTTCGCGATGCAGGTTTCGGCGAGGATCAACTCAGAGACTTTGTATCCAGTTTTCGGTGGCCGAAGCAGTTCGCCTCGCCCGATGCAACACGGGTTTTTGCAAAACGGGAGAAGAAAACATCTGCTGTCAAGGCTGAGGCTTCTGAACTCCTGAATGCCCTCCCCGTTTTGCGATTCTTTGTCTTGAAGTTTGTCATGAAAGCAGCGATCAGTCCGGACACGGTCCAGGCATGCATGTGCTTCCTGTTGCTGTGCAAGGTCATAGACATGCTTCACGATGCTGTGCGAGGACGTGCTGTCGACCCGAAGGTCCTTCACGACACGATCGTCAAACATTCGAACTGCTTGCTAGAGACCTATGGCGAAGATGTATGGGTTCCAAAGAACCATATGTCACTTCATCTAGGCGAGTTTCTTGCAAAGTTCGGCCACTTGGTCTGGTGTTTTACACACGAACGTAAACACAAAGTCGTGAAGCGGTTCGCCAACCAAAAGCTGGATGGCTCCAGGGGCTTCGAGGACAGTGTCCTGAAGGATGTCTTGGCGGTGCAGTTGAACTGCATGTCTGCAGAGCTTCCATCCTCGAAGGTGCGGCTCATGAACCCCAAGCCGGCCCCGAAGAAGCTCGTTGCTCTCGTGGAACAGGTCATGCCACTTGCAACGGGGACCATTCTGCATGACCTGCGGGCGATGCATGGTGGTGGGTTCGTCTGTACCAAAGGCGATGTCGTGGCTTTTGATGCTACGTCTGTCAGTCAGGTGCAGTTTCAGTTCCAGGCGGCAGGCCAAGTCTGGACTTGTGTCACACCATGGAAGCACGTTCACGAGCACATGTTTGAGTCATGCACAGACCTCGACCCCTTCATCACGGCAACAGACAGCATCCAATCGTGCTGCATCTATTCGGAGAAGGATGGCAAAGCCATCGTTTTGGTCTAGCCGCTAGCCGAAAAAAATGCATGCGAGCAAGGTGCCCTGCATGCGAGTCTCTTTCATGAGTGCATGTCTGCATGCGAGCAGTGTGCCCTGCATGCGAGTCTTGAAGTCACCGCTGTATATACTTGCAAGCATGCATGCATGAATCATGCACATGCCTTTTCCTCATGTTTGCACTGCAGAAATATGTGCATGCAATACTTTCTGTGGCGATATATTGCTTGATTTATCAGGCTCTGGACGGCTTCACTCGTGCTTATTGTCATGTAGGTCCTCGGTGGCCTCACTTCTCCTTCTGTGCTTTTGCTGGAGGATATACACATTTTATGTTCATCTATGTATGTGAATATTTGCTGACATTTCAACTTATCCCACTTACCTAAATCCAAAAAAGTTCACTTAGGTAACTCTAGTTAACTACATAGATAAGTCCGTTTACAAAAGTTATATAACCCCACTTATATCCCCGATATTCCCTGTAACCAAATACTAACCACCAAGATCCTT